GAGGGAGAGGAGGGAGGGAGGGAGGGAGGGAGGGAGGGAGGGAGGGAGGGGAGGAAGGGAGGGAGGGAGGGAGGGAGGGAGGGAGGGAGGGGAGGGGAGGGGAGGGCGGATAGAGAGTAGAAGCAAGGACCGTTCACGTTCGATGCTCCTTTGAGCAACAACCGATTGTTGACGTACAAGAACCTCGACATGTCAATCTCTTTGACTCCAGGGTTTATTTCGACGCCCCTTCCTGACAGAGGATCCGCCTACAATCTCCATCAATGATCCAATGCTCACAGACATCAACACATCACGATCTCCGTCTTCTTGACTTTGTCAAACTCCACATACGTTGCAATCGGTGGCACGAAGAGAAATTTGTCCTTCATCTCCTCATCTATGGGCTCATAATCCCTGAAAGATCTCAGTGAAGAGAATTCTTGATGCACCACAGACATACCAGTCCAAGAGGGCCTTCACTCTACGAGACTCTATATCTTGATTCAGTTCTCTGTTGGACGGTCTCACTCTGTCCCATGCGTATCTTCCGGCCTTGACAAACAGCTTTTGTGGCTTGAGGCGGCTGAAACGATGAATATGACAATGAAATACTTGAAAACAGTCGTATCATCACCAGAACACTTCATGGATCGTCGAATTGCCGTCAGGGAAAACGGTATGATCCGACAACGCGGTATCAGGAGCTGTAGCACCCTCACGAGACTTGAAAACAGCTTTTGGCATTTTTTCATTCTGTTTTGGGAACTTCCAGTCCTCATCCTTCAAGTCGTCAAGGTTGTCTTCTTCGATCTCCCCCTCGACTTCTTTCGCAGCCTGCAGCATATCGTTGTAATCGATGATCATCTGATCCCCACTAGCCGAATCATCCATGATATTGCCCATGACATCAACTTCATCCTATTAGCAGTGTCAGAAACCTTGAAGGAGCTTTCAAGGCCAACACACCTTCAGCATCTTCTTCGCGGCTTCCATTCGCTTCATTCGCAAGCTTTGGGCTGGAGTGATCAGGTCCTTCTTGTCTTTCTCGACCGGGTCAATCAGTTCCCAGCCGTCTCCCTCGAAGGTCAGAGTGCGATTCTTGAAGACGATACTCTTGTTTGACAACTTGGTGATCCAGTTCAGATGGGTCACCCGATACTTTTTGTTCAATTTCTTCTTCCCCCCTCCACGCAGGCTCTGCAATGGCAACCATATAATACCCTTTGAGCGTCTGACCAACAAAGTGAAGCCCTGGCCAAGGTTCTCATCGTAGTAGCCAAGATTGAAATTGATTGAAACAGAAAGAAATACAAGAAGAATCCAAGGAGGAGGGTTGCCTACCATGTTGCTTCTTCCCCTCTAGGGATCGGTCAAAGGAAACTTCATATGATTATCACCCGCCACGCCTCTACTGTTCTTCATGTACATCTGTTCCTCTGATCCTGTTTGGTCTCTGTTCTAACATGATCATGCTTGTTGTCTGCTCTTCTCAACATGCTCCTTCTCCTCGCCTTCGCGCTTCTTTGTCGGCACGTGATCTCCTCAACCGCATCAATCCAGCGGTCGCATGGTGGAACCGTTACAGTTCTCGTTATATAACAACTGTGTTGTACCGTTACTCATTCACCTATCATGAAGGTAACGGAATTCTAACGGTGAGGAGCGGACCTCTCGAGTCGGGGATTCCGTTTGACCACTCGGACCCATCACCCCCCCCCACTTCCAGGAATTACGTCTGTTGTTGTGTGGTACCCCCTCCAGACCGCGTCCAACCACCCCCTATTCCCCTTCCTCTCTCGTTTACACCCGGGCCCCTCCTCAGCTTACCCTTTCCTCCCCTTTTCGTATATCGCACCACCCCTGCTGATAAGCCCCTCCACCCCCACCCCTTCCTCGTAACATGTCACACGACCTTGCAAAGATGCTAACTCATAACACCGAAGGAACCCACCACCCCTGTCGATTCTGCCACCCTGGCAAGGTCGCCATCACCCCCTTTTGAATGACCCCCTCTTTTCCAGACCCCCTTTTTATTATCTGCAGACCCCTCCATCTCTCAGTGCCGGCTCACCTGAAAGCTACCTTCTCTCCAGTTCACCCCACCCCTCCTGTGCTCACCCTCCTCTTCCTCGCCCCCATCTGGTGCCTTGCAACCATTCCCCCTAGCATGTTGAACGAGGCGAGCGGCTTCCAAGGGAGCATGTGCAGCCCCAACGAGACCATGGACCTCCATGCGCAGTACGACGTCAGTTCCTTCATCGTGGATGTAGGAACAGCAGACGGCATGAATGACAGCGCAGGCAATTTCCAAGCGCGGAACCATTTTGGAGCTGGAGATTTGAACGAAGAGGAAATGGCCGCAAGGGTACTGGCATGCAAGGGCAGAGATGTTCCTCTTGGCGAGATGGAGAAGGTGAAGGCATTGTTCTTGAAGCGATGATCCACTGTCTCTGATCTGTCTCCTAGATGCTCCCAAGTGCGAATGTGCAGAGAGTGATGCGTGAAGTAATTCCTGTAAATGGCAAGATAGCGCAGGATGCCAAGGATTTCGTTCAGATCTGTGTTTCAGAGTGAGCTCCCTTGTGATGGTGTTCCACTGCTCTGCTGATTCTGCGGTAGATTTATCACGCAAGTGACCGCCGAGGCTCATGAGAAGTGCAAGCGAGAAGACAGGAAGGCGATCACAGGGGACGATATCTTGTGGTCGATCAACCAACTAGGTACATCTCATGACGATCTCATCTTGAGCGAGCATGATCGTATCTCTCCAGGTTTCATGCACTATACTAAAGTTGTTCGATGCTTCTTGCAAAGGTAGATCCATCTTGTTTGCGTGTCTCTTAACATGTTGTCATCAGACTCCGAGCGATCGATGCGAATGATAGGATTGCAAGGAGGCAGTATGAAGAGCGGTTATGGCAGAATGAAGGTGCTCATTCAGATATGAGTTTATGACGCCACAACCTCTCTGATATCTCAAGCAGATCCAAAAACGAAGTCCAAGACTCAAAGATTGCTGTCGACGTCTAACTCTCATCCTTTATCCGATGCCAACAAAACTTTCATGGCTGCAGAAGCTAAGGCCAAGAGAGTGCTGGAGCTTGACGACATTCCTGGCGAAAGAAAACTTTGCAAAAAAAGGCACCAGATTTGAAGCTGTGCTAGGCTATTTTGTTACATTATTGGATCAGAAAACCAGATTGAGTGGATCGAGTGAAATTAAGAGTGTGCAACATTAAAAATTAATTGCTTGAGACAATGCAAATGGAACTACCAAGACCACTTGCTGTTGATTTTCAACCACAAGATTCCTGCGTTTGAGAATGGAGAGACATCATCTCGTTTCTTGAACCTGATTCTCACTGATGCTTCTCCAAGCATCACACTGACAGGGCTCACCACATACGTCGCATGTGCAAAACATTTCCTTGCTATCCGTTCTCTTGCTACAAGTGCGGAGCTTTCAATGAGATAGAGATGCAACGAATCTTTCCGTGCTTCCCCACCAGACACCTTAGGCACATGTCAGTCTAGTTGCCACAGGCATGGCAGATGTTACGATTGGGAAGGGCGGCAAATGCTGAGCAACCTCAGAGCTGAATGTTTTGATCGCAGTTGAGAAAATTTCCTCCCCGTCATAGATTGCAACGAGAGATAAACTCGAGGACGCAAATGGCAGAGGCGTCGCCATTTCCAACGTGTGGATAGCGATCATAACCTCCAAGGTCCCTCCCATCTCTATCCGCATCTGGTGGAACAACATCTCGTTGGTTGGCATGCTAACGACGTCAACAGTGTCGTCAAGCCGTCTGGAGGATCTCGGGATCGACTTGGACATGTCGCTCAGTCCGCATTCCTCGTGACAATTGACGGCAAAGTGATGTGCTGGGCTGCTCTGCTCGTCAAACTGAGCCTCACTTCTCCTCAGGCCCATCACGCCGGCCGTGCTGTTGGTGGGGCACAGGCAGACTCGAAGCTGAGAAGCGTCTTGCTCCTGTGTGTCTCCCAGCTTGACGACGCAGAGGTCATACTGCCTTGTGAATATCGAGGGGTCTGAAGTCACGCGATACGCGAAGGTCAAGCTGCTTATCTCTTGCGCGCTGACTGTCACTTTCCATCCGAGCCGTTCAGCTGAGTCAACAAGTTTCTTGAACTCTCCGTCGCTTGCGCTTTCGAAACCGAATCGATGCGAGACGAAGAGCAGCGAAGGCTGAAAGACGTCGGTTACCTTCTTGCCCTTCATGTCCGTCAAGAGGAGGAAGGGGCTCAAAAACGCTTTCGATTTGACCAGCTGGGTTGTGTCCCTGAGCTCGTCGTGATACGCATCGTGAGGGCACTCGAAGAAGAGCCCCACGTTCTGCAGCATCCCAGCTATCATGTTGCTGTCTGCCTTGCGCATACCCAGCTCTGCTGAGAACTCGTCGACAAGAGGCCGCGTGCTGACTATGACGCCGTAAGGGATGACTGCATGTGGCTCTTTCAGCGTCATGTTTCGCAAGCACATGATACTTTTCACTTGCAGCGATCGATTGCCAAACCGAATGATCCTCATCATGAGCTCCACTCCTCCCCCGACGATGATGCGAGCTGGGTTCTTACACGCCACGTTCTGCAGCACGTCCAGCGCTGTTTGCCGATGCTCGTTGGTGGGACTTTCTCCCTCCTTGAGCAGTTGTAGAAGGTACTTCAGCCCGCCATTGGCACACACGATGTTGCAAGCTCTCAAGTCTTTCGTCAAACTCCATATCACCTTGATGCTCAGGAGCTGAACCGGGAGGATGTCCTTCTTTGCGATGGCGAGCAGAAGAGCAACACTCCTATCGCTTATCTCTTCTCGCGTTATGCTTCTCGTCACTGATTTCTTCATCCTTGCGGCATGTGCAAATGTTTCCTTGCAGGCGTCGTCGATGAACTCGCCATTCCACACCCTCCCTTCGCTGAGCGAGATTCTCAGCAGCTCCTCGAGAACGTCTCGTCGTGACAAGTTTGACTGACGCGCAAAGGGGCTGGAGGGATCAGCGAAGGATGTTTCATTGAGAGCATCCAAGAGGAGAGACAGGCTGTCATGCACATGAGCGAAGCTCTTGTCTTTCTTGACGTTCAGGTCTGGATCTTTCAGAGGCATTGGAGATGCTCAGTTGCATTGACCTTCACGTCAATCATCTTTCTCCTTCTCCTGCTGCTCTCCCGCCTCTCTCAAGCCTCCCCCCCCCCCCCCACCCGTGATTACCCCTCCTCCTCCTCCTCCTCCTCCTCCTCCTCCTCCTCCTCCTCCTCCTCCTCCTCCTCCTCGTCCACCTCCCCCCCCCCCTCCCCCGGTCTCCCCCTTGTTCTCTTCCCATCGCATGCGGTGCCTCTATCTTGTAGGCGCATCTGCAAGGACCTACACAGACTTGCTGGAGGGGGGGGCGGAGAAGAGGAAGAGGGAAGAGGAGCGAGGGGGGAGGAGGAGAGGAAGGGGAGGGGGGAGGATGGAAGAGGAGAGGGAGGGAAGATACGAGGGGAGAGGAGGAGAGTTCGATGTTCTAGACGATTTCGACTGACAGCTCAAAACTTGCGATGTCAAGTCGAACCAAGAAGCATTCTACAGGACATGAAATGTACGAGTCTTCTATCATCAAAGGGCTTTCAACCATATGCAAGCGAGCTGAAGAGAAGGACTGAGTGAACCAGGACGGTGGAAGTAACGAATTCCTCCTCCAATATCTTTTAGAAGTCTTGCTCCAAATCCCAAGTTTCAATTTCACTTCAACCTCAAAAGACATACCAAAGTAAAGCAAGCCTTCATCCATCGCTACCATAGCCGTCGCCGTATCATCACACCTTCCATAACAAGACAAAGATGGACTCGACAACCACTGCTCTGAGCTCAGCAAAGTTCTTCTCTCTAGTCCCGCCGCAGATCATCTTCTTGCGCTCTTGCCGTCTTCTTCCCTTCGCTCCTGTAGCCGATGCCCCGCGCCCCTCCATGGCCTCTGCAGCCAGTTGGAGACGAGGAGCCAGAACATGGTCACGGCCTCCAGCGCGATGATGGAGTCCCTCCAGGACAGGTGGAAGTAGCTCGGCTTGGAGCGGGTACAGAGGTAGACGAAGAGCGCATCGAAGAGCGATTGAAACAGCAGCGTCCTTCTGATCGAGCTCAGTGAAGCTGCCATCAGCACGTAGTACAACTTCATGATCTGCATCACAAACAGAGTGAAGGAGAAAGCGACGAAAGCCATGATTCCTAACAGGCCATGGCTGCTTCTTTCCTCGAGGAACCCGAGGCCTCCTGGCTGTCTGGCAACGTTGAACACGACGAGGAGCCCTTCGAAGCATCCGTACGCCCATGCCGTTCCGCAGAGGTAGACGAAGAACTTGAAGACCAGCGGGATGTCCGACCTCCCCACTTCCCTCACGCCTCCTCGCAAGCGCAGGGCACCGACAACAGAACAACATTGCTTCTGATGCTTCTGATGCTTCTGATGCAATAGAAAAGCTCTTGCTGGACCCGCTTGCCTTCTCGTCAACTGTCCGACGTTTGCAGGCAAGGCCTCAACGCAGAGAACGCCAAGGAAGAGAATCAAAAACTTTGCAATCATTTCACGCTCAACCTCTCAGCAGGGACGAAGAATGCACATGCCCTGATGGTTTGTGAATTTTTTCTTCTGAGGGGAGGGAGACTTCCAAGAAAATTTCTTCACTCACCTCCGTTCACTCGATCTCGTGCTCGACTACTTCTTCATATCACACTCTCAATTCCTGAACAAACCTCTGTTTCCCTCCTTGCACTATCCTCTCCTCCTCTCCTCCTCTCCTCCTCTCCTCTCCTCTCCTCTCCTCCTCTCCTCCTCTCCTCTCCTCTTCTCTTCTTCTCCTCTCACCGTCCTCTCCTCTCTTCTTTGCCTCTCGCCGCTCCTCCTCTGGTCTGCCAAAGTAGGACTGACATCAACCCTGCTGACACCCCCACCCCCCCATATTCTTCTTTCCATTTTTACCCCCTTTTTAATACTCAAATCAACCCCTCATGTATGACCCACCCCTTTTTACCCAGGCTTTCTGGGAAAGGGACATACAAGGGGCAAGCGGCCATGATGGCAGGTAGGACGCGAGCGGCAGCAGCCGCAGGCGTCGCGATGCTGCTTTGCTCTTGCAGTGTGGAGGCCTTCTATGGGGGAAGCAGCATGCTTCCTCGTGCTCAGCTGCTTCAGAGACACGCTGTGTCTGCACGAAGATCTCCCAAGACTGCGGTATGCATGGCAGCAGCCAGTAACAACGCAGACAAAAGCGTTGATGCTATCAAGTCAGAGGTGGGATCAATCCTTCAAGGCTCACCAGTTTCTATTCCTGACGCCAAGAGCACCATGTCTGAGCAAGCTCCTCGCGGAAGCGCTACAAAGATGCTGCAAGATAATGAACCTGAACCCTTCAAGGACCCCAGCCGGACGCCTCCTCCCAAGTCATTCCGCATGTGCGTGGAACAAGCTTACCTCTCGGCGAAGCAGGCGATTGAGGATGGACACAAGCTGATCGAGATTGAGTTTCCTCCGCTTCCGCAATCTGCCATGGACAACGAGGCTATCGGAGCTGACACGATCTTGAAGGCTCAAATCCAGCACTCGACTGACTTTGCGAAATTGTTCAAGAACAAGAAGACTGCCATCGTCTTCGCTGATATTGTTGAGAGGAATCGATTCATCGACGACGAGACTTCCTCCAACCCGCAATCATGGAGGGGAAACATCCGCTTCACGGCGTTGAAGGGAGGGTTCAAGGGATCGCTCATTGAGCGCGTGTGGATCAACAAAGACTTCGTGTCGGAAGTGCAGGAAGACGACGATATGTTCATCATCATCGGAGCTTCTGCTCAAGAGCTGCCTGACGTGCGAGAGCTCTGCAAGGCGGCTGGTGATCGACCGGTCATCCTGTTCAACCTCAAGCTGCAGGTGCTGAGGGGAGACTTTGGCCTCCCCTTCTTCCCTTCAAAGAGCTTGCACAACGACTGGCTGTGCGAGGCTCTGCCCGCATACTTCATGCTCCCCAAGTCCTACACCAAGACCATCGCCGGCCCTCCCTTCCTGATCAACTACTCTGGCGCTCTCTTCCGAACGTATCCGGGCAAGTGGCAGATGCTGTTGGAGGTCCCCGACGAGGACGGAGGCGGGAGGTATCAGCGTGTGCGGATGCTCGACAAGCGACCTGCCCTCTCCGACGTTCGTGAGGAGCTGGCCAAGGAACTTCAGCTCGACGGCCTGGATGGGGAGGAGGGGCAGGAGATCTTTGGGCTGAACTTGAAGCAGCTCAGGAACGGAGTCGTCGTCAAGACTTGGTGGGAGAAGGATCTGGATGATGCCAAGTCCGACAAGTGGCGATCGTAGACTGAGGAATGTAACTGTATGGTTGACAACAACAACAACAACAACCGCATCTCTTCCCCTTCCACTTTTTCCCCCATGCAACCAGTACGAACATTCATCGTAGTCTTCAAAGTGTTAGTCATGTTGAAAGATTCTGTGCCACTCCTTCCTCTTCCTCTCCTTCCTGCTCCTTCTTCCCCTCCTTCCCCACCTTCGTCGCATCCATCCTCTTACCCCCTCCCTCCCGCTCACCCCTGCTCCCCCGCCACCCCCCCCCTCTGCCATGTGGGCACATTTTCAGTTTTGATTTGGTTCCCGCCCCAGGCCCCTCCGACATAAGGCGACGGCCATGGCAGGCGGCGGCAGTGCAGGAGCGCAGGCGGTCGCGGAGATCCTGGGGGAGGAGAGAGAGAAGATGGACGAGGCCGTGCTCAAGTTCTTGGAGGGGGTCATGGAGGTGTGACCGTCGGCGCTCGTGAGGACATGGCTCGCTCTTGACGTTGTTGGCAGGAGTTCCTTGGCCAAGGGACGATCGAGGGGCAGGAGGAGGACGACGAGGGGTTGACCCGCTTCTGCCTGCCGTTCGTGGAAGACTACATCGAGCAGGAGACGTTCAAGATGAGGCTCATGCGCGTTAAGGGGAAAGAGAACCATCCTGTTGATAACCAGCTCCCGCACCTCCCTGACAAGCTCCCCACGGAATGCAACAAGCGCATGCTGCCTCCCTCAGCCTCGCCGAGAGTCGCAGCAAGCCCACGACCATCTCCTCCCAAGCCCCTGCGAGTGCAGCAGGGAGAGGCGAGGGAAGGAGGCGAGAAGAGGCGAGTGGAGGGCCAAGCAGTGGGCCGGCAGACGTGGAGCAGAACGTTCGCGTCAGTGAAGGAGCTTGTTGAGACGCTGTGTGTGTCTGCTGTGGAGCAGACGGTGGTGGAGTATGTGTCAAACATCCTCACGGATGGCGTCAACGACGCGGACCAAGAGGAAGATATGCAGGAGGTGATCGCGAGCCTTCTCCCAGACCTCGCTGCGCGGCTCGACAAGGAGCAAGGTTGGAAGGATCTGTTTGAGAAAGTCAGAGACGTCCTTTCTCAGCTCGCCCAGCATGAGCAGCCGGTCAGCCAAGATCATCGATCGCAGGTGTCGTCGAGCTCAGCAGCCGCTCCATCGGAGGCACGGGAGGAGGAGGACGATCAGGAGAGGAGGAGGAAGGAGCAAGAATGGGAGGATGTGGAGTCAGAGGAGTTGAACAGCATGCATGAGATTTTTCCAAACAGCAGCAAGGCAGAGCTCGAATACTTCCTAGCAACGAGCAAGTCAACGGAGGAGGTGAAAGGTTTCTCAGGTTGCCGTGTTTCTGATCTCTTCTCGTGACCCGCAGGCTATCGAGCGCTTGTTCGAACATCTCCAGCTGCAGTCCATGGCAGTCTCAGCAGAGCAGAGGGAGCAAGAGAGGAAGATGTTTGAGAGCGAGTACAGAGGAGCCATGCGCCAGCGGGTGCTGGAGCAGTATGACAAGGTGGAAGAGGAGGCGAGGGTGGAGAAGGGAAAGCCTTGCCCGCGTCCTGTGGTGCACAAGAGTGGAGCGATAGAGCGAGCGCTGGAGCAGATGAAGAGCCATGAGGTGAAGCAGATGCAGAGATTCATCAACAACGAGGTTGTCTCGCACAAGGGGGAAAGATTCATCCTTGAGAAACGACAGGAGGATCCCAGCACCTTCGTCGGGCTCAAGATCAAGTCCAAGGGAAAACGAGGGCCCAGCCCTAACTTCAAGTGAACTACTGCTTCTCCTCCCTTTGCTGTTTCTGCTCCTTCGTCTCCGTCTCTTGTTCCCCTCCTCCTCCTCCTCCCTTCCTCCTCCATCTCTGCTTCCTGCTCTTTCTTCTTTATATACACATATCAATGAATATCCTTGATCCCTCATCTTCCTCCTCTGACGGGTACGCTGGTCGATGGGCGGAAGCTTTCTGTCGGAGCGGAGGAGGAGGGAGCTTGCTGCTGGAAGGCGGAGGGCTGCGAACTCTTCTCCTGCTGCAAGATCTGTGCCCCTCCCACGACCTTCCGCTCGTTGACAAGAACGACATGCTGCTCGGCCTGTGGGGCCGCAATGCTCTCCCTGTCCACGTTCCCCTCCTCGCAAGGGCCCAGCATGATGCTCTGGACGAAGCTCTTGCCCAGGTCTCGACGATCAGCGTCGGGAGCAGGGCGCAGGTACCCCATGTGCACGTAGAGGCCGTCGACAGCGACGTGAACTTCGGAGACCCCTCGGGACGGAGTTCTCGAGTAGTTCCAGATCTGAATCATGGAGAGAGTTACAGGTGCGTCGAAGAGCACAAAGATCCTGTTCGTCCCCTCCTTCGCTAGAGGAGCCAACCACAGATGCTGTGCGTCCCACGTGTCGTTGACCCCGTCCACTAGCTTGTCGGGTGTGCGGCAATCTCCTCCTCCTCTCTCCCTCACCTCCGGCAGCTCGTTGATACTGCCGGGAACCGCCACGATCTGCTTGGGCTGCAGGTTGATCTCGTTGCCGAGCTCATCGAACAGCTTGATGCCGTTGAGGCCGATGTAGTAGAGGTCGCCATGGCTGGCTGCCAGCACGAAGCTCACCGTCAGCCCGCGGGGAAGGCAGGGGGCGTCGCACATGGGATGCAGGCGAGCGAGGCTCTGAGCGAGGGACTTGGGAGACTCGTTGAGGCTGCGAGGAAGGGACCAGCGCGTCTGAGTGAGCGCCTCCTCCATGGTAATGGTCTGCCCGAAGTCGAACATGGCGTGTCCGGGAGCCTTGCGCAGGACGAAGCCGCAGTCCGGGGAGACGAGTCGGCCGTCGAGCATGAGGAGAACCCTCTTGGCTCCCCGGGTTGCGTCCTCGGCGCTCTTGTTGTAGTTCCATAGCCTGACGGCTGCGACGCTGGTGGGGGCGAGAAGGTCAAATTGGAGGAGGTGGGAGGCGCCGGGGGTGAAGGGGATGAGCCACATGTGATGGTCGTCGGAGGTCACGTTGTGCCCGTCGATGAGCTTGTCCTTGGTGCGAGGGTCGGCATGGCTGCCCGGGATGTCGTTGAGGTCGCGGGGGTTGGCGAAGATCTAGAGGGAGAGTGAGAGGAGGGAGGGAAGGGAGTGGGAGGAGGAAGAGATATGTCAGAGAGGAGGAGAAGAGAACGGGTTGTGAGGCAAAACGAAAGAAGGGGAGGAGAAAAGGAAGAAAAGAAAGAGGACCAGGACCAGGACCACCACCAGGAGGAGGAGGAGGAGGAGGAGGAAGGATGCAGGGTAGTCAGAACCTGATCGTCTTTCAGGGCAATCTTCTCTCCATTCTCAGATATGATTTCGATTCCAGTCAGCCCGGCATAGCAAGAGTCTCCCCACGTGTCAAGGATAGAGATAGCGATCTGGGTAACGAGCGCTGACATATTTCTCCCGCTCGCTGCTGTCCTGCTCGCCTCAGGCCTCAGCTCAGTCTGCTCCTCCTCCATCGACATCTTCTGCTGATCGTCTCCGGGGGTCGAGGGCCTTTCGGTAGGCTCCTCCTCCTCCTTCTTGTCCTCAGGCTTTTCGTCGTCGTCATTGAGCTGGCCGATCAGTTCCCTGTGCATGTTCGTGAGATCAGGGGAGGGGAGGGAGAGGGAGAGGGGAGGGAGAGGGGAGGGGAGGGAGAGGGAGAGGGAGAGGGAGAGGGGAGAGGAGGGGAGGGAAATATGTTCGCGGATCAGGTTTTACCTCTGGTTGTCCATGCTGGTAGCAATGGCATGGAGTAGGTTAGGATCTTGTGTGAAGAGTAAAATCTGTACCATCAAACTTCAAACACAAGAATACTACATCTCCTCCTCCTCTCACCTCTGCGTGCTCCTCGGCGTCTGCAAGGTTGCCGGGAGCTGGACGTATCTCGCCCATGAACAGCATGGTGCTGTCCAGGTAGAGCTCGACCTGCCGAGCACCGCGCGCGGCATGGATACGAGACTTGTTGTAGTTCCACACCCTGACCATCGAGACCGTTGTTGTCTCCTCCAAGTCTGCAGCATGGGCTCAACAGAGGAAACGGCGGAAGGCAGGGGGGAGGGAGAGGAGAAGAGAGGAGGGGGAGGAGAAAGGGAACGAAGAGGAGGGAGAGGAGGGAGGGAACGGAAAGGAACAATACCGATGAAAATCAGGTTCGCCTCCCCCGCCTTGAACGGCGCGAGCCACTGATGCAGGTCATCGCAGGTGCCGTTGACCCCGTCCAGCAGGTTGTCAACTGTGCGGGGATCCGAGTGATAGCCGGGCAGGCAGTTGATGTCTGCTGGCTCAGCTCGGATGTTTGCGGTGGGATCCTGGAAGGCGAGCAGCTGGCCCCTGCCGTCGAAGATCTCGATGCCTGACAGCCCCACGTAGTGGTCGTCCCCCCACGTTGAGAGGATGCGGAGCTCCAGAAGCCGCCCAGCTGGAGTTTGCGGGATGACGCAGGTGGGAGGGACTGCGCGAGATGGTGAGGATGATGGAGGAGACGAGGGAGACAGGAAGGGGGTAGAAGAGGGAGAGAGGAGAGGAGGAAAACCTCTATCCTTCGGCTGGGTTGGGATGGAGTAAATGGGAGGCTCGAGCATGCTTGTCTCTTCCCTCGCCTTCTCTTCCGCAACGCTGATGATCTTTGCGGGCACCTTTCTAGCACTCTCCCTCATTACCAGTGACAAGGCGTCTTGTTGTGAATCCTCTTCTCCCCTCCTTCTGTTCTCAACCGACGACGATGACTTGGCAGGCACTTGCGTCGGCGGCTGTTTGTAGCTCGCTTCTTCTTCTTTCATCTCCTCATTCTTCGCACTCACCTTCTCCTCCACCTCCTCTTGAGTCTTCAACTTCTCCCCACTACAACCGGAAACGTCACGCCCGGGTGAATTTTGAACGCACAGGACGTACAAGTCCGTCGAGTTTCCAATCCTTCCGAGGTGCTGAGTGCCGAAGAGCGATAGAGACTCGAGGCTCTGTGAGGTGTGAGGCAGGAGAAGACAACATGACAGGTAGGAGAAGACAACATGACAGGTAGGAGACAACAACATGACAGGAAGGAGAAGACAACATGACAGGTAGGACAAGACAACAGAGGTCAGGCAGCACCTGTTGCACATCGGTTTCTCGAGCACGACGACCGAAACGAGGACGAGACCACGAGAAGGTTTCTTTGGTCTCAGTCTGCAGGCGATTCAATGACAGTCACTATCTCCTCTCATTTCGTCTCGTCTCGTCTCGTCTCGTCTCGTCTCGTCTCGTCTCGTCTCCAATCCTCTCACCTCATCTCATCTCATCTCATCTCATCTCATCTCATCTCATCTCATCTCATCTCATCTCATCTCATCTCATCTCATCTCATCCCTGATCGCTGAACTGATCATCTCATCTCTCATCACCAGCAGGGGAATCTCTCCCATCACGTCCGCGCTTGGCAAACTTGGCAGAAGCTGATCGCTGCTGCTCTGCTTCGAGTCTTTCCCCGTCAGCCAGATCGGCTCTCCCTCTTCCACTGCCTTCAACGGTCAGACCCGACCGCCAGGGCTCCTCCCCATCACCGTCTCTGAGTCGAACATCCTGGACAGGCTGAACAACAAGTTTTGTCTCCTCCTCGAATGTAACAACAGGCAACTTGATCTGCAGTACACACATACTACGTCACCGGATGGTTCAAGTTGTAAAACAACTCACTCCGTCTATCAGCTCAACGGTCGTGGAAAAGTCGCTGGTGATGCTGCCACAAGCTTGTCTGACTTCTCCTTCCCATCTCTTCCTTCCGTTCTCCACGATCTTCACCCTCCTGCTCTCTCTACATCATCTCCTCTCTCCTGCACCTCATCGCTCACCTCACTCCCTTGTCCGAATCGAGCATGCTCTTGTTGTAGTTCCACAGTCGCACGGCGCCGATGCAAACTTGGGCAGGAAGGACAAAGACAATCTGCCCTCCCTCCCCCTCCTCCGACAGATACGCTGACCACATGTCCGCCTGTCCACCACATCGGGAAGCCCCGTCAATCGCTCTTCCTCTTACCCTCCTCGTCCTCCTCTCCTTCCTTGTCCTCAACGCTCCTTCCATCCTCTCTCCCTCTTCTTCTTCCCCCCTCCTCTCACATCATTGGTCGTGAGCTTGCAGCCGTTGATCAGTCGATTTGACCGATCAGTCGAGCTCTTGAACCCGAACGTTGAAACTTGAGCGTTGGCAATGCGAACCTGAGAGATGTTTTAGGCGCTAGAACTCCCCGACACTTCTCCTCCTCTTCTCCCCACCTCCTTCTCTGCGCCCCTCCTTCCCTCTATCTCTCCTGCTTCCTCCTCCTCTCCCCTCCTTCCCTCTACCTCTCCTGCTTCCTCCTCCTCTCCCCTCCTTCCCTCTACCTCTCCTCCTTCCTCCTCCTCTCCCCTCCTTCCCTCTACCTCTCCTGCTTCCTCCTCTACTCCCCTCCTTCCCTCTACCTCTCCTCCTTCCTCTCTCACACAACTCTCCCCCTCCTCCCCTTGCTCACTGTCGGACCTTCGATCCCGTCTCGTCGAAGAGTTCAATCTCGGTGAGCCCGACAACCTGATCACGTCAACGGCCATCAGGTCACAGACTCGTCGTCACCTTCTTGTTGCCCCAGTTGGACAACACGTGGACCACAAGCTCATTGTCATGTTTCAGTTTCTCGTCATCCTCCTGTGCCAGCTGGTGCTGGCTGGAAGAAGGAGGAGGAGAAAGCCCCGACTTGTATTTTGCATCTCCTGAATCCAAGGCAACTGCTGGAATTTGCCTCGTTTCCTTAGCCAGCTGACATCACACGTAACTACAAACGATCAGGGAATTTTGCTTTACCACACTGGAGACTGCCTTCATTGGGTCAGGCGAGCGCTCAGTTGTGGCGACAACTTCTCCTTCACAAGGATCAGAAGAGTTCTGCACGAGAAGAACGGAGAATTACTCTGGAACAATTTCTTCTCTGACGAACCGGTCGCTGCACCTGTGTTCTGCAACACGGCAGTCAATCACTGGAACATTCCTGTCACATCCCGTACATCCTGGCTCTTTGATATTCCGATGAAGTTGTCTTTTGCAAACTCTTGTTCAACTTCAAACAGAACAAATCAAGGAAGACACCAGCATAAGTAATCTCACCCCTCGAAGAAGTCTTCGGAATCTTGGGAAAAGAGATCCCACTCAAAGGTCTGCTCTTCAAGCGTGAAGAAGGATCATCGTTGGATCCTTCACATCGTCAGCTCCTGTGTAAGTCCCCTCCTCCTCCTCCTCCTCCTCCTCCTCCTCCTCCCTCATTACCTTGGCTCGCCTTGGGAGTGCTAGCAACTTCTTCATTCTCGCGCGCCAGCGCAGCAAGTATGGCGTCGAGCTCCTTCTTGTCCTTGTTCACTGCGTTTGCAGAGGAGGAGCTCTCCGCTCCTTCCTTGACGTCTCGAGCGCTCGTTGCTCGTCGAGGGAGCAAGGAGGAGGAGGAGGCGGAGGACATAGGGGGAAGAGCACTTCGAATAATCCTCGCGTTGGATTCCTGAGCTGACATGGTCTTCGTCTTGTGATCATCGTCAGCATGTGATAATTATGTCATCAGGTTCTCACCGACGATGGCTGTGACCAAACTTTCTCAGCTTCGTCAACGGCTGCTTCGAACTTGGAGAAGGAGAACAAGACATGTCAGGAGGAGAGCAACACACATGCTCCGTGTACCTCGTCATGCAAGCTCCCATCGCTCTCGATCTCCTCGATAGTCTTCTCGAGGGCTGCAGATACATCAGATGCTGCAGATGACATCTTGACGAGGAGGGAAGCACTTGCCTGCTGGGGACGAACATTCCTCGTCATCCTCAAACGATTCCTCGGAGATCTCGTCCTCGTTCTTGACGCGAGCATGCGGCAATTCTCCTTTGCTCTGCTGACTAGATCAGCTCCTAAGAAAGTTTCGGCGATCGAACAGCAACCTCTCCGTCCGATCCCTGAGAAAAAATGTTGACCGCCTGTTTGCGACAGTCAGCAAAGACATTCAGATCGTTTCATGGGACAAAGACGTCCATACGTCGTCATCGGAAGCGAAGTCATCTTCATACTGCTCTTCTTCGACGTCAGCATTCTCTCCTTCTTCCTCCATCATGTCGCCGCGATCCACATCCTCGGAGTAGAGGTCCTGCACAGAACAATCATCTGAGGGCACAGAGACGTTGCCACTGACCTCATCTGAGTCCGCGCTTTGGAATTCCGAGACGGTGTGGAGGCTTTGAAAGACAAGTGAACAAGAGGTAGATTCGTCGTCCACCTTCCTACCCTTGCTTTCCGGCTGCTCTCAAACTTTGATCTCGCGATGAACGGATCGGCTTCGGCATTTCACCCGTCCGAATGTATCGTCCTACTGATCTTCAACTGCGCAACAAGGTACAGGAGTCTTCCTACCGACAGGAGAAGTAATCGCCTTCTTCCTTTCTTTCTCTTGAGCCGAAAGTTCGATTCCCCGCGCTCTTCCGTCCAACTTTTTTCAGAGGACCAACACATGGATCGACAAACTAAACCTGAGTTCCTCAGAGGTGTCGATGTCATGCAGAACTTCAACCCAATCCTTGCAAATTGCGTCATGGTCGCAAGACAAATACTGTCATGTGTACCAAAGCTTCAATGAAGCCATCTCCGTCCCGATCCAAGAACTGGAACAACTGAAATACACAGTCAACAAAGCAGGCGAACAAACTAGGAGCTACAGCATGTGAAGCTTCTTCTGAAAGATCCATGTTGATAGACTCAATCACCGACATCCAGTCTTCTAGATGTATCCTGCCGTCCCTCAATGTAAGCAGGACCACACAAGTTCATTCACAGTAGCATGCCTGCCATCGTTGTCAAGATCGAACTGATCAAACCCATCTTCCAGTGAAAGCTCGTTGTACTGTAGGTGCACAGTCTGCATCAGTATCGAGACTTTGACTTGATTCAGTGACCTTGAGTGTAGCAGCAAGGATCCTCAAAGAGTCTCGGACTAGACTTCCCTCTGCCCGACCGTCCTTGTCCTCGTCAGGCTCTGTCTGCAACCAGTCTTGCCCCTGCTCCGTCTGCAGGAACGAGTGTTCAATGCGATCATCACGCTCCTCAGTGCATGGGACACCTCGAGCCAAGTGCGCCCCTCCTCTGAGACCAGCCATTGCATGCTCTCTCTGGTTTGTTCCATGGACGGCGGAGCAAGCCTGATGACTGACCCTCTCATAGTCTGGATCTGTATCGATCCTTTCTGCCATGCGCTTCTTTGACGGACGTTGCTCCTTTGATCTGAAACCCTGTCATGCTCCCCCTCCCGGGATCAAGCACAAGTCAGGAACCTTTTCGGAGGGCTCCTCCTCCTTTGTCGTTCTCTTGCTTCTTTCGGATCCTCTCCTCGTTGGCTCCGAGAAAGTTGACCTGAGCATGCTTCAGAACCGAGCAGTGACATCCACAGGCGCACCTCAAATCCTCTTTCCCGTTGCGCGAGGGCTTCCTTCTTCTTCTCCTCCTTCTTCCTGAGCTCCCTCAGGATCCTGTTCTTCTCTTGCAGGACTGCAAGGTATTCTCGATAGGACGGGTCCACACCCTTCCCAGCCAACGAGTCTGACTTGACATCTGTATCCTTTATGTTCACTGCCTGCCCCGTCCTGTCCCAAGTCTTCCTCCTCGTGGCGCCATCGGTCCTGGGCTCCGACATGACTCGTAGCGTTCACTTCAAGCACCCTTCCTCCGTTGAAGGGTTTCCAGTCGCACAAGCAGCACTTCAAGCATACTCGTAGCTCTCACATGTGCTCTCCTCCTCCTCCTCCTCCTCCTGTTCCTGCACTACTCTACCCTGGTCCACCTACGACAGTGAAAACAAGGCGGCGCAACATGAACGTAACGGATCGTAACGTGAAATCGAGGTTGCACCTGCGGCCTCATCAGGAAGGCGATGGCACTTCGAGTGCTTCGCCAGCACAAGGGTCTGGGATGGAGGCTTGTCAGGGCAGGACCAAGGTACCTCTCCTCTGACAAGCCTCGGCACCTGGATCAACTTCGACCTGGGACCATTTCTGCGCAGGTGATGAATGGATTCGTGTGGAATGTTAGTGATAAATCGAGTCCAGATCCCCTTCGGAGACGACAAACAGTACAATTCAGTTGTTCCAGCCATTTATCCGTCTTCTACTTTCGTTAGAGATCAGAATGGAACCAACATTGCAGGTCAGGAGTGGGGAGTGGTCTATCAAGTCGATGAGTTGCAAGCAGGCAAGATCTATGCTCGGGATGACAACCCAACAGTGCTTGCAGCTGAAGGCACCATCAGAGAGCTGGAGTTCGGCGCAGATGCTCTCTTGTTCTCATCTGGAATGTCGGCAGCCACCGCAGTCTTCAAGGTAAGTCACCCCCATAGCCTCCTCTGTGCGCTCATGGAGGGAAACAGATACTTCGGCCTGGTGACCATGTCATTGTTCCACGAGTTATGTACTGGGCGTTGAGGGGATGGATCATGGATTTCGCGAAAAGATGGAAGATCGAGGCAGCATCGTCTTCTTACGCTTGTTCGCTGGTCTTAATCTGTTGCAGGTGAAAGCTCTGGACTTTGGAGAACCCTTCGACAAGAACAAACTCCGCTCGGCCTTGTCCACTCGGCCAAAGTTGGTCTGGCTCGAAACGCCAGCCAATCCGAGTAAGGCCCTTGAATCCTGCTCCTCTCTCTCGCCCATGATAGTCTTGCAGCCTGGTCGGTCTCGGACATATCCGAGATCTCAAGCATGGCACACGACATTGGTGCATTCTGCGTTGTGGACAGCACTGCTGCGACGCCAGTGCTCAGCCAGCCTCTAAATTTGGGAGCCGACATTGTGATGCACTCGGCAACGAAATACCTGAACGGACACAGCGACGTGCTGGCGGGGGTTCTCGTGGCGAATCGCAAGATGGCGAACTCGTTGTTGTGGAAGAACATTCGGAATGTTCGGCGGAGTGAAGGATGCTGCCTTTCTTCCTTCGACGCTTGGCTGCTGCAACGAGGGCTGCGAACAGGTGTGATAGATCATGCTGAAAGCAACGCGTTTCTCACTGGTGATCGAGCAGTGCACTTGCGCGTTCGAACCCAGAGCAAGAACGCCCTTGATATAGCAAAGCACATGGAAAAGTTAGACGGTGTCAAGGTGCTCTATCCCGGACTCCCGTCCTTTCCAGGGCATGAAGTGGCAAAGCGTCAGGAAAGCTGAAGACATAAGGCCAAACTTGGACATTGACATGCAATGCAGATGAAAATGGGATTTGGAGGAATGCTCTCTTTACGATTTGAGGTTTCAAGTTTTGTTACCCATACCTAGACTTTATTTGAGATTCGATATGCAGGGAGGGAAGGAGCAGGCACTTGCGTTCTTAAACGCATGCAAGGTATGTCCCATATCCCCAAGATTCGCTTCATATCAAGCACGAGCTTTTCTTTATTCGCATGTGCATTCTTAAACCCTGTATTCACTTGGTGTCAAAACGTCAGCTGTTCAAGAATGCAACGTCACTGGGAGGAGTTGAAAGCCTCATCGAGCACAGGTACACGAACACAGACTGTGAGAACGTTCCATGACTGCTAGTTGCAGAGCCAGCGTCGAAGGGAAATCAAGTCCCGTTCCAGACGATCTGTGAGTGAATAGCTGATGAAGATCGATGCGCAGACTGATGAATGTGACGAAGGCTGAGACTGTCCATCGGTATCGAAGAACGTGATGATTTGCTTCGAGACCTCCACGATGCATATCTAGTAGCGGTCAAAAACAAAACCGTGAAATGACCTAATTCGATCGCTGTATTGTTCTTGTTACGAACGAGCATAGCGCATGTAGAAATGAAACTTCGTAATCAAACACCACGTACTATTGTAATGTCACGCATTTCCCTCCGAGCACAGACATATTCTCCCGAGATCACAGTAAATATCGTTGCTAATATGTTGCAAAACCACCAAACCCAGTGAGTTGGAAGTCCGTCATAAAGAAAGCAAATCAATATATGAAATCCATAGAGCGTCGTCCCAAAATCAAGACATTTCTTAGCCCTCTCCACCACCACATATAGAAACCCGACATCACAGACTGCACATAGAAAAACTGCAAAAACAGTAGCCCATGCCAGCCTTGTTGACATGTTCTCAAATACGTTTGATGTAAAGAACTGATCTAGTGAGATTGGCACTCCCATCAAAGAATCCATCAAGAAGAAAGAGGCGCCAAGTGCGAGGTAGTGCAAAGCCTGCATGACGCACATCTGAGATATGATCAACTGAGCATCGAAATGCTCTCTGCCATAGAACGTTCCGCTCATTTCTGATCAAGAGAGGTTGCAGCTTTCTCTCCCTTCTCTCCTGCTCGCTTCTTTCTTGACTGTACACTTCTACCTCTACCTCCTGCTGTCCTCCTGATCCTCTCCTGCTCCCCGCAATCCTCCGTCTATTCGCCTCCTCCAGCCATGATGCCGCCGGAAATCTCAAGTCGGTATGAATGTATGAGTCATACTCGTCCAGGTATGTGTGATAGAAGGCCCCGACTCGCCCGGCCCGGGCCCGGCCGCTGAGCCCGGCCTGTCGCCGTGACGGTGATCGGACAGTGAGCCTCGGAGTCACAGAGTCACGGCCGCGCGCCCGGCGTACCGGGGGACCGCGGCGCACCGTGACCCGGGACTCAGGCCCGGATTGACATGAGTAAACTTCGTAGACTCAGAAGACTCGAAAGGACGGGCCGGCCGCGCGGGGCCCACCGGCGTGCCGGGCGGTGGCACTGGCACGGTCATTCGCTGTCACCGGGCCGGAAGCCACCAATCCTCAAGAGCTTTGCCGTTCTTTATCAACTTTAGGCAACAGAGCTTTTCATCATGACTTTGTACAATCTTTGTGTTGGCAAGGTTTCTGCATACAACAAGGGCGAGGTTATCTCTTATTTAGTAAATCTTATACACGCTGGTGGGATCCGAGCGACAGATTGGACATGGCCTTGAAGCCGCTCCTTCCTTGTGGTTCTCACAGAGACATTTATGTCCACAGGGGATGAGCGCCCACATGGCCTCTCGTTCCAAGCAGATGACGCAGAGCTGGCTATCTATGTCTATCTCATCCTCTCTTAAACTCTCTGCAACGGCTGCGTCATGCTGTTGCTGAAGCTTTCTATGCAAGTCGCTAAAACGTGGCCGCTCTGACTTCTGCTCCCTCCAACATTCCAGCATGATACTATACACAGCTGCAGGGCACGAAGGGGGGCTCGGAAGTCGCACACCACCAAGTACCTTGGATCCCACAAGCGAATCGTCCGTGACGGTGCAATACGGAACTTTCCCGTACGTCCAGATCTCCCACAAAGTCACACCAAACGCCCATACATCGCTCTTCTCCGAGTACTGCCTTCTCTCGATGCTCTCCGGTGCCATCCATCGGATTGGGCGAGTCGTCGACCCTGCCGTACTGAAACTCGCTGCATATCTCTCTCCGTACCCGCGCGCGGACATGACAGACAACCCGTAATCAGCGATCTTCACATTCACATCCAAGTGATTCTGTGCATTCAGACGGAACACAAGCACGTTCCTCGCTGCCAGGTCCCGATGCACGACCTGATGCAGAGAGAGCTGTACCATCCCGTCGCAGACCTGCCTCGCCACCTGCAGCTGCACCAGTAGACTGAGAGTCTTGCGTTCCTCTGCGAGGCTAGATAACACGACATCCAAGGAGCCCTGAGATGCAAAGTCCGTCACCATGCAGTAGTCGCAAGAACCTGGCTCAATTGTGATAGCAAGAAGGCGAAGGAGATTCGGGTGGAGCCCCAAGTGCTGGAAGATCTTGACCTCCTGCTCGAACTCCTCCCTCCTCCCAGTGGATCCGCTGCCACGGATTCGTTGGATAGCTACTTCAGAGCTGCCTCCATTCGGCTGCTGCCATCGAGCCTTGTAGACGAGCTTGAAGGAGCCTGAGCCGATCTGCCGCACATCGGTGAAGGCTTCGAAGTTGACCGACGGGATGCCACGCGAAGGCTAAAGAACAAAATGTCAAAGACATCCAAGCCATATAGAGACGGTAACCTGGGACACAACGACATGTTGCTCCGTCTCCTTTAGCTCCTTTCTCTCAACACTGTTCGTCTCACGCACTTCACTTTTTGAGGAAAGAACGTTTGAAGTTTCACATTCAATTTCAATGCATCTCGCAGCTGTCGCAGCTTCACGATCCGAGAACTTGCCCTGGATTCCTCGAGAATCACTAGCAAATGTAGAGGACTTTCTATATTTTCTGTAGACCAACAAGAGAGCCACGAGCACAGTCGGAATAACGACTGTGATCACAACGATTGTTGTCACACTCGACTTGCTAGGGCTGGCTGTCGAAGTTGGGATTCGTGCTGCTGCTGGTGATTGAAATGGGGGTGGTTGAATCAAAAACAACATCTGAAAAACATGACATCAATATAGATAGATTGAAAAGGTGTCAACCACCTTGATGATCATCACAATCAGTTCCACTCGCACATGGATTCAAGTTGGCGTCCATGATAGTAAAATTAGGCCATGACAGATGATAGCACGTCAGATTGTTGCCTGTCAATCTCAAAGTGATAAGCGAAGACAAACTAGTGAAAGACTGGGAGGGAATGCAGGAAAGCCTGTTGTAGCTAAGATAAAGATACTGCAAGCTCGAGAGCCCGTCGAAGATCCCAGCTGGCAGACTTTCCTGATAGTTGTTTCCAAGGGATAGGTTGTTTTGGTCTAGATGCAGAAACTGCAAGCTAGAGAGCCCGTCAAACGTTCTATCCATTATGTTCCGAATACCCATTAAATTCAAACACAATCTTTTGTAACCCCGCATATCAGTTCCACAGTCACCTCCACAGATTCCCTTCCTCGACAACAAACCCTCACCCGAGATGTGAAACGTGCAGTTTCCACAGCTCACGCTGCCTGCTGCCTCGGTCTGCCTTCCCCAGCCTCCAAGTAACATCAAAAGCACACACATCCCCAGCACTCGCTTCATGCTCCTCCTTGACTGATCTACAGCAATCCCAGCATGGGCACTCGGCGAGTCAGCCTTTCTTGTCAACTCACCAGCTGATTTGACCACTCGCACTTTGACTAGACACGTACTACCAACATACTACTACTACTAGCTAGCTAGCTATAGCTAGTGACTGTACTGTAGGTATCCTCTAAAATACTATAAACTCGTGGTACTCTAAAACACGTACTCTTGACTATGTATGTCATGACTGTGAATGTTGCTCCGGTTTGCCCTTCTTTTTCAGTTCGTCTTACACATATGATGAATTGAATGGTCGAATCGCCGGCGATACAAAAGCGCTCAGCGGCTTATATCGTTACGGATCCACTCAGTCAGCCAGACCTCGTGCCAATGATATCAATAGCAGACGATTCGTGGACACTCAGCACAGCTGCTTGATGGAGAGCCGCAGAGCGGCTTCGTCGGACTCAATCTATTTAGCTCCTCGAATTGGACTCAGCGGCTAGCTCTAGAACTCGGATCGGTGCTGACTTTGAATGTCACAGAACTCAGAGGGCCTTTTCAAATCAACATGTATTTGTCGGAGGGCATCAATCAAGACGTAAGACAGGACTAAAGTTCGGATCTGAGGGGGGAGGAGGTACGGGCACACTGCTCCTGAAGCCGAAGGTGGACCTGCAAACTTGAATGAGAGGAGTTGTCTGAGCATGGTAGATGTTCAACAGGAGGAAGGAGGCCATGGTTCGGAGAATTGCAAACACAAGAATCTCTGCCAGGACCTGGAGGGTCCAGTCATTTAAAGGAGCGGAAGGGATAATGATAGTAGAAGTCAAAGTACCGAGAGGACAAGGCCAGTCACAACAAACAAACCTGAAATGGAACAAGTGAGTTCAATAGGACTTTCGCCTGTCAAAGGTGTATCATGAATGACCGTCTAATTCAGCAATGCCAAGAGCAATCAGAGCCATGCAGATGGCAGGAAGCTGCGAGAACAAGTCAAAGACAACTGAGAAGAGATCCTTGCGTTGACCTGGGTGCTGAAGGGAATAGGAAGCATAACGACGACTGAGAGTTGGAGCATGAAAATCGCTAAAGCTTGCTCAACAACCTGTAATTGAGAACATGATATGAAGGGACAAATGATTCGGCCTTTTACGGGATTCTGCATGAAGAACCATCTGTGCTTGGCAAATTTGTTTGTAGCTGGATGCAAGCATTGTTAACTTGCACACAACTGTCGTTCTAAATCAAACCTCTGATCGCTGGCAGCCCTGAGCTTAGCATTGAAACAAGGTATCGTTTCTTGATTCTCATCTTTCTTATCCACTCCTGAAGAAAGCAGACATGAATGGATTGAAGAGCACATACATTAGAGATACTGGGAGGACTGGGATTCGACTTCCTGAAATCATCTGACAAGACAAATAGAACTGTTCAAGATTCCGTCATCGTGGGCAAATACTTGAGAGTTTGAGTTTGACCTGTCCCATCCCAACAAACATCCCAACACCAGGAAGACCTGGTTGATACGATGCGAAATTTCGTCAGAAAGAGTTTGCAACCGAACGAGAGAGACTCGGCCCTACAACGTACCTAGTGCACTGGGCAGTGAAAGCAGTAAGAAGAGCACCTGACAAGCATCAGACCACAACATGCGACAACGGATGAATCGCACAGGAAATGCCGAAGGCCCCAGCAGTGCCAGCACGTCTCCGAAGGAGATGGTCTCGAAGTCATGACGGAAATCTCCCGGGGACGTGGATAGGGTGTCGTTGACCATGCCGACTTCACGGGAGCAGATGCTGATGACCGACTCGATCACCTGCGAGACTCGAGCTGGAACACGGCTGTCTTGACCTTGACAGTCGCATCAGAATCGTGGGAGATCCTCTCCTAGATCTACCTTGGTTCACGCTAGTTAACAGATTCCGCTTCACCCTCAGGGACCTCGGCGAGAGGTGGCGGAAAGATGGTCTTGCCCCCATCTCCTGAGAGGCCGCCCTGGTTGGATCACAAGGTCGTCTAGGGACCTCAAAGTCGCTGTCATCAAAGATGGTAGAGTCTTCTTCTCGCAAGGTTATCAGCGATCGGTTGCCTTGTTGGTCCCCAGCATGACTTTGGTTCAAGGACAAAGGCATAGAACAATCCTTGTAAGGAAGACCTTCATTCGTCTCATCCTCTCCTCCCCGCAAGCGCAGAAACACCACCTGATCCAAACCTGTGCTGTCAGAATAAAACGCCTGGGGATAAGGAACCCTGACCTCATTGTTTCTAGACCTGTGAAGATGTATCCTTGGGCAAGAAGTGACAGGCTCGTGCACATACAAGCAACTAGCATTCACAAAGAGAAAGAGGAGGATGACGGGGAGGCCAGACCCCCTTGTCAATCTTATCCTTCGTATAGTGGATAGAATATACGTAACAAGCCACTGATCCGGTAACATTGGTAGGATCAGGAGGGTTGAAGTGCTATGCCAGAAACAAATCTCATGGCTGGAAAGCAACCTTGCCTTCTACGGTTTGCATCAGCGACGATGTACACCTGTTTTCATTCTTCAGCATATCAGATTCATATTCACATCCAAAAGCTTGCACTCGTCAACCCCTTCCTTGCTTTTCTCCCCTCATCAACGTACCTTCCCACAGCCCACTCCCTTCACTGCCCTCCTCTTGCCCTCTGTCTCTTTCTCCCATCTGTTTCTCACGATCCCTCCACCCACCTCTCCCTGCTCCTGCTATCTTCTCCGTACAACCTCTCCACCCTCCCCTCTCCCCTCTCCCCAGCCCTGTAGCTCTTCACCTCCTGCCTGCTCCTGTAGCGCCCCTACAGCATGCAAATCGTTCACTACATCGATCTGTGATATAGATATTAGGCATCCTCCAATAGAATATTCATATCACCTTGACCATGAATATAGAAATTCAATATATATTACTTAATAATCCTAAGAATGAACTATTAATTCCTATATTGTATAGGAAATCTGTAGTCCATCGGGCACCCTTTGCGCGGCAGGCTGTCCTGAGATCGAAGCGATTCTGATCGAAACAGTTTGAAAATTTACTAGACCGACTGGTGAAAGTGAAGGCAACAGGATGGGCGGCACCTCAGGCATTGAAGTCGAGGCCGAGGCGGTCGTACATGACCTGGTTGTTGTCCGTCCATCCTTTCCTCAGCTTGACTTTGAGAAACAGATGGACTGTGCATTCGAGGAACTTCATCATCTCCACGCGCGATCTTGTGCTGATGTCTTTGATCATGCCTATCAGAATCTTCTTTTGCCCCTCCGTCTCCACAAAAATTGTCTGCTCAATGCGAATGCTCCCGTTCGGCTGCGTCTCATACGACTCCGTCTCCACGTAGCAGGCGTAGGGAACCTCCTCGTGAGCACGCAAGAAGATGGATTCACGCGTGAATTCTGCCACTAGATTGCGCATTGGAATGTTCGAGATCTGATCAACAGGATACAGCCATGGTCCGAGAGGGAGGCTATCCTTCAAGTAGGCCTTCAAGGCATCCAGTCCTCTTCCTGTCTTGGCGCTCACCGCAAAACTTTCTTGATCATCGATTCTCCATTGTCATGGACCCCGGCAGACAATCGCAGCGTCTCTGCAAGCTGCAGCAGCACTGGGCGCCTGTCGCCTTCCAGCTCATCAACCTTGTTGAGGATCAGGTTGTAGCGTTGACGTCGTTCCGTCAACCTCGACATGATCAGCTCCTCGTTGGTTCCAGCACGCAATTTCAAACGCTCCGGATCAACCGGAAGAGTCAAAGGAGCAGATTTTCTCCCAGTTCTCCCAGGCCCAGTCCCCCCGGGGATAATCTTGTCCGCGTCGATCAGAAAGAAGATCTCGTCAGCGTCACGAGCGCTGTTCCAGGCGGACTTCACCATGGCTTTGTTCAGCCTCTGCTTGGGTTTTGGCGCCATGATACCTGGTGTATCGATGTAGATGACTTGTGTTCCTCCCTCCATCGCGATCCCGTTGATGCTGTTCCTTGTCGTTTGACGCTTGTGGGTCACAATAGCAACTTTGGATCCAACTAACGCATTCAGCAAAGTGCTCTTGCCAGCATTAGGAGCCCCGAGAATGGCGACAGTCCCGCATCTCTTGGGGCCTTCAAACACATAGTCCTCATCCTCGTCCTGCTGCTCCTGATACATTTTCTGCATCTGCAATTGAAGGTCGTCTTCAATCGGCACCTCGTCGTCTGCGATCTCTACCTTGCTAGCTTCGTCTTCTTGATGATGGTCCTGCACTGAGTCATGGACGTCCTTGTTTCCACTCGTTACATGCATTCTCGTGAGCTCCTCTTTCATGTTTCGATCCGATGGGCCAGAGAAGAAGAAGCGAGGATGATTCAGACTTGTTTCATGCACGTTTCGGGTTCTGAATCTGAGTGTGCATGCCTCCAAGGTGTGCATGCGGCGCATTCCATGAAGGACACTGACAGGCTGAATGAAGGCTACTGATGTCGATGACGGCTTGACAAGCTGCATAAGAAGTAGTGTACGAGACATGCAAGCACCAATCTTGTTTGAACTCATCTTCCTGCCATTGAACGTCAGCTAAAAGTATCATATTACTTTTGCACATGGCAAAGACATGTCAAAAAGTCCCTCTTGCATAATTCCTGGTGAAATTTGTGCACGATTACCCGCGACACATTTCGAATCTTCTACTTGTACATTTATGACAAGTAGACAAATGTATCCCATCACGTGTGATTCTACTTTCAGAAATTCGCTTTTCAGAACTGAAAATTCAAAACTGGCTCTGGTTTGCTGCCGACTATCACTACTCATCTTTCTCACCTCTCTTATTCAGCTTCCCTTGTTGTTTCAACCTCTTGCTCTCCATTCCTCTATCGCTATCAGCCATCCTCCCTCTTCTTCTCTCCTCCTTCCCGCTCCCTTCCTCTCCTCCCCGTGCGGCATTGTCAGCCCCATTGCCATGAGCACATGCGGCCGCTCCTCAAAATGTTTACTCAACAAAGATACCAAAAAGCCTACTATATAAGTAATCTTTTTCTAGTAGTTGTGAAACTACTCAACAAGATATAACTAAAATCAGCACGGCATTGAGTCGCTCCATGGTGTGGGTCGTGTGCCTGGCAATGGCGGGGATCGGGCTGCGACTGCAAGGAGGAGGAGGAGGAGGAGCAGTGAGAGCAGCAGCAACATCAGCATTTGCTGCTGCCTCCTCAGTCTCCTCAGTCTCCTCAGTCTCCTCAGCCTCGTTGGCTGCTAGAGCATGGAAGAGAGGGTTCTTGACGCGCGTCGTGGGCCCCTGTAGACTAAGAGGAGGAAGCTTTTTCCCTGATTGGATTCAGAGGAAGGAGAGGCTAGGAAAGTACAGCCCGTACGCCGCCGAGAGACAACTGACTACCTTGGAGGAGCCTGAGGAGGTTGGAGCTTGTTGTTGAAAGCTATCATGACTTGGCAGTGGTCCAGGGTGGCAAAGTTGGCGCGTTGTTCGGTCTCTGCAACTTAGCGACTCAAAACATGGTGGAGGGAAAGTATGTGACAACGTCTTTCCTTGCCCAGTGTTGGAAGCTCTCTTTTGTTGAAACCTCGCGATTGCAGGTTGCAACTGTACGAAGGGGATTTCGAGCTCATATCCACCTGTCTGAATGACATCACGCCAGAGGAGTTTGGCTTTCCTCCGGTCTTCAGTTTCTACATGCTCGAATCTAGTCTGAAAGGTTTGGCAGAGCCGAGACGACGGGAAGCCGATCATCGACTACGTGGACATGTATCCCAGTCTCCTTTGTTGGATGTTATTCATGTCGACTTTTCCAGCTTTGAGGAGAAGAATTTCACCGCCTGCATGTTCAAGATTCCAGCAGGATCTCGCCTCCCGATGCATGATCATCCTGGGGTTAGTCTTCTAGCGATGCTCCCAGCAGCTCATGAGAGGATGGTAGATGTACGTCTGGAGCAAAGTACTCTGGGGAGAGATGGAAGTTTCATCCTACGACCGGGAGACAGCGCAAGGTCGTAGAAAGGAAGAGAACAGAATCGAGGCGTTTGACATGTTTCTTTCAGCGACCCCGCGAGACAAGTCCTTCCCTTCATTACCCTCTCAAGCTCTGGACCTCCGTCCGTTCAAGGTTAGCGTTGACCTCGGTTTGTAGAAGCTCAGTGGGTTTCAGGTCAAGACCAAGAGAGATAGAGAGGTTTGGAGGAGTGAGGACGGCGTGAAGATCACGACACCCACGGAAGGGAACATACACGAATTCCGGTGACAAGAAGATCAACAGCTGGCAACGTGCTGACGTCATGGTGGGCAGGGCGGTCACGACCTGCTGCTTTGTAGACGGTGCCAGACACCTCACTGTGTCCTTGTTCTGATGTGCTTGCAGTCATCATGCCTCCGTACGACTTCATGCAGGGACGGCGCTGCACCTACTACGAGATCAACGACAGGGAGGATGGGACATGGGCCCGGCCCATCCGTTGCCCCGCAGACTACGTCACGAGGAGCTTGAAGTACATAGGAGAGACGGTGGAAACGATTGAGGGTTGAGGGTTGTATGTGGTACTGAAAGGGATGTTCAAAGCACTCAGCGCATCGCCTTCTCGAACTTCTTCCTCCACCACTGCATCTTCTGGTTGAGTTTCTGCCAAGGAGCATTCAGGGGAAGCAGGCAAGGGAAGCATTCAGGGGAAGCATTCAGGGGAAGCAGTGGACCTGAACTCTGGTGCCGTACTTAAGGTTCTCCCACTCTTCGTCCTCTCCCTGTGAGACTTTGACAAGCGCGAACGAGGGCGGAAAGTCGCTGACCTGAATGAGGGTGACTCGAGGGCGAGTCCCGCAGACCACCGGACTGTCCTCGATCTCATAGCTCTGGATATCGCAGATCAAGGAGAGTGGTGGGATGGGGAGGGGGGGGGGGGAAAGGGGGCAGAGAAAGATCAGCATTGAGCATGTGAAAGAAACAAGGAGATATCACCTTGACAGCTTCTGACGCTGCATGACTCGTGGAGTAGAAAATAACTGCCGAGTTGTTCTGACCATGGTAATCAACATTCTTGACTCTGCCGAAGCGCCCGAAGACTAAGGCGATCTCCTGCTTGGTAGCGTTGGTGTGAAGATCGGTCAACCTAACATCCTTGAGTGACATGATGTGACGAGCCTTCAAATGACCTGATCCATGCTCCTTTGATGTAGTTGGGCAAGTTCTTATGCTTCTTGTTCTGCTCTGCAACCATAGTCAGACCCGTCAAAAGAGCCTTTCTTCCTGCACCAAGAAGAGTCCTTTTCGCCTGCATCAAACATCACTAGGGTAGGACAGGAATGGGGTCATTACCACGAGGGCATTTCTCCTTTCAATCCTTTTCCAGTCTGCTTTCATGCACACTTGAAACTTCAGACAAAGAGCGAGACGGTCAGAAAACCGAAGGAGGCAGGGGAGGAATATGTTACATCTCCATCATCTTGCAGTTGAAGGGTTTCAACAACTTCCTGCAATATCATCGTCATCAGCAACGGTGATTGGATTGTGGGTGGTCAATCCACGGACAAGGATTTGGGAGACTCACTCTCGCAACGTTTTCATTCTCAAATTCAACGAACACCGCGCCGGTTAGCTGTTTGCTCAAAGTCAGGATTGTTTGAAGAGCGAATGACAAATGCAGTTTCATGTCAGAGCAACAAGTCATAGAACGACGCGAGAGGAGTCAAGTGTGGAGTTCAACCTGTTTGGTCCTGAAATGTCTGACAGCTCTAACACTTAGAACCTTCCCTACATTCTTGAAATGTCAGAGAACAAAGAGGATCGAACAGGTTGAGGTGAACCATATTCGTCGAATGCCTCCTGGGCATTCTCTATCTGTAGAACGAGTGAGAACAATGATGTTACCACCAGTCAATCCTCTACCAGTTGCCCTACATCCGTAGACTTGAAGCCATCCACATAGATTGTTCTGCAGGTCAAATTCATCACAACATCCTTCCCTAGGATTCACCTCGTTCAGACCTGTTCGTCAATGCGTCCTGATCCAGCACTGGAGTTGTTCTTCTCACCCACTGGCCATCCGGGCTGACCTGGAGAGCTCAAGTCAACAAGCCGAAACAACTTCATTGTTTCAGCACCTCCAGGTAGTCCACCCTCCGAGCTCCCTGGTGCACTTGAGGTGAGAAAAAGACTATTCACAACAGCGAGGACAAGATGACCTCAGCTATGTCGCGGACCGATGCACGCAGAGTTTTCATTCTGAGCCTCGAAAGTCAAGTTGAGGACGGTAGAGTGGCAACAAGTTTCATCCCAAGGCCAAAGAGAAGATTGAAGATCACACATCTAAACGTGTACAAACAGGACCTTTGAAATGATGCAATTACACTCAAGTTCACGAATCCAGACTCGTTTCTGGATTTGCTGTGTTAAAACCAAGATAAAAACTTCTTCAAAGGAGATTGTTTTCGTCATCATGGATGTTTGAGACTTGAACGATTTAGCTAGGACGCGTTAAAGTTTACCTTCCCATCTCGAACTGTAGGAATTTATCTCTTGGCAAATTGCTGTCTGAGAAATAGAACGCAATCTGCCGTGATACTGTCTGGCATTTAGATATGAAGCAGCCGCAGCTAACAACTCACTCGCCGCTGGCCTGTCACGGTCGTGCGAGAAAACAATGGGCTTCCGTTCCGTCTCTATTCGCAAGAACGTCAGAATTACAGCAGAGCAAAACATTCGCGAATCTCATAGCTGCGCGTGCAAAGAATCTGACGCACTTGAATTCTTTTTCTTAAACAAGAGATTGAAGGGGTTGAGTCTTGAAACAATCTGAACAATCAAGCGTGAATCGTGATCATTGAGAGCAAAGAATCTCACTTGGACGGGCGTCTGAATCAGCTCAAGTGCCCATTCTGTCCAACTCAACCCTGTCGCACACCAAGCTTGTCTAAGTTCATCACTCAGACTATATCAGACATCTAACGTTTCCGTTTTGACGGACTGTACAGATTGTAAGCGTCAGTCACGTCTACCAAACAATCAAGAGCATCAAACCGCGAAGTTTCTTCATCTGCCTTGCCTTCAGATGCCTGCATCATACAATCACATCACAGGACTATCAGGATCGCCAAGTTGTTCTGACCGCCTCGTCTGGGGGATTTTCCCTCGCCCTTTTTCCTGGTTCCAGCATCAGCCTTGTAGTTTCATGCCTAGGAAGGATACCAAGAGAGCTCTCGCCCCCTCGAAGAGCGAGATTTTGACATTTGAGCTGCACGATCCCTCCGCTCGGATGAACCAGGAGGGAACACGGGAGGAGGAGGAGGAGGAGGATGGATGTTGAATGGAATACGACTTGCCTTTGACTCATTGCTGACAGACAACTCGGTTCACCCCACGTGCTTTGGTGTTTTAAGAAGAGGGATAAACAGTGAAACAAGATAGATAGAAATGCGAAGAACCCACAGTAGAACCTAGAGAGCAACGATAAAAAAAGACGATGGGGGATTCAGGAAAGAAGGGATCAGGAGTCGGAGGAGTCGGAGGAGGAGGAGGAGGAGGAGGAGTCGGAGGAGGAGGATCAGTTGGGGGATCGGGGGAGGGAAGGGAGCGAGGAGATAGAGGACGGGGCTGCCAAGAGGCGGGGGGGTGGAGCGGGAAGGAGGAGGGGGCAAGACGCAAAGGGAAGATGAGGAACGTGGGAGGATACGGCCAATGGACTGATGAACACTGGTATAGGGGGTGGGGGTAGAAAATTTAACCTGATACACCCTTATATTTAGTGTAAAAAATGGGGTCAGGGGTAGTAGGATTACACGGCAGTCAGGGTAGTGAAAGGAGCTCCTGGCATCCAACATGCTTGCAATCCATGGCGGCACTGCGACATTGTGGCAGGACAAGATACTCCAGCGATGAGCATGCACATGTTGAGGACTTCTTCTTCAGCTTGAGATGCCTGTATGCCCGACAGCTTCTTGGGCTCAATGATGCAGGCATTGTGACTGTGAGGTTTTGTTGTAAAACATGTCCTCGATGACTATGAAGCTCTGTTGTACCTAGGGAATCGATGGGAGGTACTAGGAAGGTGCTGTTGACAAGCACTCTCCTCGCTGTGCTACTGGCCTCGTGGTTGAGATCCTCGGACTGTGTCAAAGAACCTCCTTCATCCAAGGGAAACAGCCAGCCAATCGCAGAGAAGTCGAGTTCAGCCTCTCTGCACAACGTGAAGGCTGCCTTCCATGCACTGATGGCCAAGGAGAATAAAATCAGCAAGAGGAAGAAGGAAGACACCGGACGCAGCGAATGGCAGGAGGAGACGAAAGCAAGGTGGACAGCAGACGACTTTCCTAACAGGTTCGACGTTGTGCCGGGAAACTCGTGGGATGGCATCGACCGCTCTAACGGCTACGAGAGGTTTGCACAAGGAGCCATGGAGCAGAAAGTTATGTAGACCTGCAGGCGACTTCTGCGCAAGCAAGACAGGAGGCTCGAGCAGGAGATGCTCAAGGAGGTGCAGGAGCCTCAGCAGCTCTTCGAAGACAACGGTATTCATTGTTGAGGTCTTGTTTGCGCCCCTGACACTCGTCCAGTGCAAGAGTTTGATTCAGAGGATTAGAACTCTCAAAGTCTGCTTGGAAGAGAGCCTAGACTACAGTCTTGCCTGCGTCCTCGTCTTCTTCTTCCTCCTTTACAGGTTCTTCCTCCTCCGGAGGAGGGGATATGGGATCTGTAACGCCCTTGGCTCGTTTCCGTACCTTGTGAAGCTGAGCAATAAAGCCCGTGTGTCCGATCTGAAAGACGTCACTTGTCAGATCTACGAGACGAGAGGACGGTTGAGAAGGAGGGGAACGTGATGGTGGAGAGTTGGCGTGAGGAAAGTACAGAGGGAGGACAGAGGAGGAAGAATTAGGAGCCATGTCAAACAAGAACCTGTCGGAAGCTCGGGTGAGCGACTGGCAACTTCACATCCCATGTACGATGGGAGACTTCAAGGACGCGAGTGAGCGTAAGGGACAGGCCCGAGTTGCTGAGGGCGTCCATGAAGAAGGTGATCTGAGTGATGTTGGGGCAGAGGAGGATGAGACTTCCGCTGTACTTGAGCGCTTTCTCCGCGCGGGAGAGAGCCAACCATGGCTCCATCATGTCAAGAATGATCGCATCCGCACACTCATGCGGCAAGTCAGCGTCGCACAAGTCAAGGTGGTGGAGGAGAACATTGCCAGTGCGGAAGTCAGGGGTGAACCCAGCAAGATCCTTGCTGCTGTCGCCGCTCCCCTGCTCCTCCTCCATAGGAGAAGCTGAGTTCCTGGACAGCCAGGTGGAGATGTTCCGAGCAGCGTTACGAAGAGAGTCCACCCGACGATCAAAGCTCCACACAACACCATCGGGTCCTACCGCCCGAGAGAGGAACAACGAGAGCCCTCCGCTGCCTGTCCCCGACTCGATCACTCTCATGCCATTCTCAAGGTCCGCCAGCATGACGATGGCAGCTGCATCCTTGGGATAGATCGGCGTGGCTGACCTGGGCATGTTCAACACGTACTCCTCGAGGGTCAAGGGACATGCTAGCAGACTTTTGCCACGGTGCGTGTGAACCATTCCTCCAAATCCAGTGCGCATGACGTCGTGATGCTTCACTTTCCCCATGTGACTGTGGAATTCGCCATTCATTGTTACTCGAATTACGTACCTTTTCCTCGTGTCTGTCAGAACAACGTGTGCTCCCTCCTGGATCAGCAAGGGTTCCTCCTTCTCCTGAGCCGGTTCTGCTCCTCCGTCTATACTGCTCGGCTGGCAGAGTCTAAAAGCCGAAGTCTGGGACCTGAGAAGAGGTCTCGTCCTCTGCAGCAGCCTGGACAATGAGCCGGATATGCTCATCATTGTCGTGGCAAAGGACGAAAGCACGAGCGAGAGTACCAACAGAGAATGGGGCGAAGTTACAGGAGGATGCGGAGAGATCAAGATTGGGGCAGGGAGGGAGCAGGGATGGGAGCAGGGATGGGATCAGGGGAGGGATCAGGGGAGGGAGCAGGGGAGGGAGCAGGGGAGGGAGCAGGGGAGGGAGCAGGGGAGGGAGCAGGGGAGGCAGGGAGAAGGGAGGGAGCAGGGGCTGCATCCGCAAACCCGCCTCATCGAGACGTTCAAAGAAAACCAACACTGAGACGCGCCGCCGGCGGCCGGGCCCACGGCCCCGGCGTCCGGCCAGTATTAGGAGTCCACCGGGGCCCCGCCATGCGGCCGCGGGCTCCGGAGGAACTCCCCGGGAGTGGCAGGGCCCGGCCCAGGTCCCTACCCGGCGGCTCCGAGTCAGTTTCAGTCTTCATTTTCAAGTGCCATTCAAGGGAAGGGGCCGCACTGCGGCATGATTAAACTATTGATTTGATTTACTGTTTGACCTCTATCATTGTAGACGATGCAAGCAGAGATGACTGAGAGAGGCCGCACGTCTTGTGTATGCGATGGTACTGGCTGGTGCCGCAATTTACAGCGATCTGTTTCCCCTTGTTCTCCTTCCCTTGCGTGTACGCGCTCGGAATCCAGGAAGAGATCGGAGACACCGAGCTCTCCCCCATAGCCCAACCATCCATCTCGATGAATTTCAGCTCATGAGGGGCCTGCCAGGACATCAGGAGAAGAGAAGCGAGGGAGCGATTGATGGGGTAAGCAGACGCACCTCGAACATGCACCTAACAAGCTCCTCGTCCCCAGTGCGGAACAGATTCCATAGGTGATGTGCAATCCACCCGGGCATCCAGCAGGGGACGCGAACACTTCCTTGCTTCCACTCCAGGAACCGAATCTCCCCAACGTCCCCGCATAACATCTGTATGATTCGTTAGTGCCCACGGAAAGGTTCAGATTCTTCGACAACCTTCCCGAGAAACCCGCTGGACTCAAACGCTTTGTGCAACGAAGAGTCTGCAAAGAAAGCAGCGAGCTGGGGGACATGTTCAACCAAGAACAAGCAGAGCAGGCGACGAACCTGAGAGGGGTAGAACATGGTGATGCAGGAATCTCGACGCGACGCGTTGCATACCACCACGTGCCCACAAGTGTCACGTGGCTTGTCGGGAGCCTCCTCCTGCATGTCTCGCTGAACCCATCCGATGCTGATCTCAGTACCACAGAGGGACCAGGTGACAGACTCTGGTTGGCAGATCTCGCTTAACGCGTTCTCGTCAATCCTCTGCTCCTCCTGATATCCATGGTTGAAGCCGACAACCACAACCTGCATCCCTCCCGGGTGTGAGCGTCCCGCTGCACTCGAACTCTCCTCCTGAGACGATTCCTCTTCCAGCATCATCTGCACGAACCGTACATGCTGCTCTTCCAGAACGAGATCCGACACAAATGAACAGACTTGCAAAATCTCGTTGCGCAGTCTTGCCTCTATTTCAGCAGAGATAGGAGTCGCCAGCATGACTCGTATTCTTTCAGACGGCAACGGATAAGGAGCGGAAGGGACCGCAATCAATATTCTAGTGAGGAGCTGAAGAGCGGAAGCAGCGACCCCATCAACGGCCGACGCGCCTCTTGCTTCAAACCGTTTTGTCAGCAGTCGTTTCAGCCGGGTCAGCTTGTTCGAAATCACGTTCCTATCACAAGTTGCAAGGTCTCCATCAAAGACAAGGAGCACTTCCTTCTGTCCGCTCGCCACCTCCAGTCGTGCTCTCTTGTTCTCTTGGTGACAATGATCGCTCGCGGTGCTTGACCCCTCAGCGTAAGCCATAGTCGAGTCTTCGCAGCTGTTCATCGCAATCAACTCTCTTTTCCCCGGACATGAATTCGTTGCCCTGTTTGAAGACTCTGCTTGTACAACATTCATGGCCTCATGAGGTTTGTTCTCTACGGACGGAGTTGGAGAAAAGTTCATGGGATTCATCAACCCGACATCCTTTTCGTCAAGTTCATCGACGTAGTTGAGAACTTGCATCCACGCCTGTGTGTCGCTGTTGTCAATGCCGCTTTCATTTAGCTCGTCATGAGCGAAATCCTTTAGAAAGCGATTGAGTGAGTCGACGCGTCCCTCTGAAATAAAAAAGTCAAGAAAGGGCAACGCAGCAGGAACAATGGATGCAGTGAGTGCAGGCAGAATCTTACTCAATTCAGTATTTTCATGCTGAAGAAGTACAAGCTTGTCGTGCCAGGCAGTATTGTTCCGTTCTTCAATATCTTGCATAGAAACAACTGATTCACCGGCACGGGACTCGGCAAAGCTACCTGTTCTTGCTTCGAAGGGCTGGATGTCCTGCAACGGAATTTCAGTGCAAATGCCAAACATAAGCACATTTGAGTTTTTTCACTTACAGCCAAGTTACTGTTACTGGGAGAAGCATTGCATGATGGCTCCTGGCTGCAGCTAGTTTGATCCAAGAAGGGATAGCCCGTGAAGCCATTGCTTGGAATTGGAACTGAATTTGATGGAATCTGTTGATTTCCTTGTTTTTGAGGATACACTTGACCAGCTGGAACATCAGGCATGGCCTCAACAAATCGGTTTCGTGCCCCCTCTATCTTTGCCATTTCCAAATGCTTTGAATGTGCATGCGCTCGTAGACTATCTTCGAAACTGACCTGTGACATAACTCCGGCATATCCCTGCATCGGCACTGAGCCGGTTGCATTGAGGAACCCACTCGTGAAGTTCATATACTGTATTTGCTGGAGCCTCAGGCCTTCGGCATCGTTTCGCTGAAAAGGAACCAGAGATTTTTGCATGACATCATTCGAAACCTGACTTGAAAGGTGTTTCCCAGCATCCTGCCACATGGACCCCCGGTTGGCCGGCCACTCTGCATTGTAATATGGATCATTGCTCTCCTGCAGCATAACAGGATGCTGCAGGTATTGCGCATTCATGCCGGTGCTTCGCCATGCACCCTCCATGTTTCCAGCTCGGAAATGCTGGCAAGGACGTCAGCAAGTGATGTTGAAAGACGTTGTCGGTTACCCCGTGCACTTGGTCAAGAGCGCTCATATGTGTCTGTGAGCCGCAGTGTTTCTTCCACTTCCTGCCAGCACGAGAATCATGACATACTCCATTCCCTGTTGTCATGTAGACTTCTAACCTCGGAGCAACCCAACATTTCGCTTTCGTACATCCCATAATAGCCTTTGCGCAGGACACTCCGCAACAAACAGAGCACCATTGGTAGTACTTTCTCGTCGGCTTGTTGTAGACGCCACCTTTCCCTATCTCCTGCTTCCCTTGCGTGTAAACCACCAGCGACGGCCCAGCCCATGGCACCGTCTTGGGAACACCGGCTTCGTGGTGTTCAGAGGCTGATGAGACAATCGGATTTCAATGACATGTGAAAGACCAAAAAACAAGCTCTCTCAGTTTCACCTTTAGAGATCTCGGATCGTTGTACAATCTGCCAATCACCTTGGCATTGCGGTCTGTAATACTCTAGAATCTCCTCGTTGCCCTCGTTGATGATGCACATGTAGGTGGATCCGACTTCATCAAATAGCAAGACCTGAGTTGGCCCTTTGTGAGCAAGCATACAAATGGTATAAAGAGCAAAGGATCATCTACCTCCTTTTTCCGAACTCCTCCTTCCATCAATGGCAGCGACACGCTAGCACCCTCTGCCCTCCTTGATTCCCCGCCACGTCCGTGCATGGACTGGTCATTCTCGTACAAGTCCGGCTGTCCTCCTCCTCCACCATCGCTGTCGTCTTGTGGTTCTCTTTTGAAGACGCTGCTCTGGCTCGTTTGTCCTCCCCCGACTCCCTCCTCATCCTCCTCCAGCCCTAGCACCCGCGCCTCCATGCTCCTGAGCCCAACCAACCCGCTCACCCCTCCCCCCCCGCCTCACATTTAACCCCACCCTAGTACCCTCCAAGTCCTTCACTTTCAACCCCCTCCACCCTCCACCCCTCCATCATCAAACATTCTTACCCCACTACCCCTACTTTCCTTTCAATTTTCCTTTCCATGTCGTCTTTCCTTTACACCCCACCCCTAAGTCTTATGTCTAAGGCTACCCCCTACCCCCTCCTTCACCACACCTGCTGCGAATTCTCGCCCCAAACTTTTTAACCCCCTACCCCTCATGTTAATCACCCACCCCATTTTTGAGGTGTTTCAACCCGGTAGTATCTAGCAATAATCTAAACCCCATGGGATCACACCACCCCTCAAGTCCCCTTCAGCTTGCAGCCCCCAATTTTCATCACCCTCGTTCACCATCGCATCATCACCCTCATTCACAGCATTACTCCAGCTCATCGCCCTCATTCCCCTCTACGCCTTCTGCTGTCCTCTAGTCCCCCAGTGCGCTACATGCACACAGCTCCATGCTCGTGCTCGTTCTCCTCTCCTCCCTCCCTCCTCCCTCCCTCCTCCTCTCCTCCCCCTGAAGTATTTCTTCTGCTGCACACCAGCTTCCTCTAACGCGTTCCCCCATCTCCTCTCCTCCATCATCTTTGTTCTGTGTATGGTCAGCTCAACTTCCAGATTCCTTCGAAAAGATTTGGATTTCCCTTCCCTTCCTTTCTTTCCACCCCCTCATCGTCCTTTTCCCTTGATCTCCTCTGAAGACTACGAATCTCATTGTGGCTACATCCCTGATTAGTCTTCCTATCACTTCTGTCTCGTTATCTCGTGGATTCTTGACGTTTCAACCCTCCACACATTTCATCGGGCCTCCAGCAGTATCTTATTGCTCTCCTTTGTTCTTCTTTTAGAAGCGTCTTTTCTTCCTTCCTCCTCTTTTGGTGGATGTTGAACGTGTTGCACACCGATGGTTTCTTGAAGAGCATGCTAATAGTAGTGTAAAAGAGATCAGTTGATTAGCTCGACAACCATTTGGCCCATGCTCGCCCACGTCGAGTTAAGATTTCGTTTCCATGCTTCGTTCTCTTATATTCATTGAAATCTCAATCGTATGCATTTAGGATGGTTCTTGTCATCCTGTCCTGTTCATGGCTGATGTTGTTTTTGACATTCTCTCGATAGTCATTTATTGCAATCTAGTGCACAAGCCCACAGTGCCGATGATCTTTGTTGTTCGACCTGCTCGAGGACCATTACATGAGACTGATGATCGTTTTCTTCCAGTTATTTCAAGAAAGTTAGCGGCCATGCCTAAGGCCGCTGGGGTTGAGATGAAATCGCTGTTGGCGAACGACAGCGTAGCGAGCGAATCCATGAATTCCATGTCCGCTGATGACAACCCCAACTTGTCTGGCTCGATCGACATCCTATGGCAGCTCATTGACGGGATCAAACAAATCAGCGATCATGTGGTGGTGGAAGTGAACAATGAACAGACGCCAGCTCTGATGGAAGAGTTTTTTGAGAAGGTGTGAATTTTCATTCTCAGTTCTTCGTGATCTCGTTCGTCTGTTGTTTTGCCTGAGGTTGTGGAATAGGTGAATTCCGTCAAGGGGGAAATGAGTTCAATAAGGAAAAATATTAACACAATGAAAGAGCTTCAATCCAAAATAATAACTGAGGTTTCCCAAACAAAATCAAAAGGTTGGTAACGAATCGACGATCGTTTGTAGCTGATATTTTGTGAAAGATCATGCTAGCCGGCTGGAGAGCACTATGAATGAAACTTCGAAGATTGCCAAGAGGGTAAGTCGCACAAGAATCACACCAATCTTGCAGCCATGAAATGTGGATAGTGACGTGATTTTTGGTAGATCAAAGATAGCTTGCATGATATGGAATCAGAGAATGAAACATATAAGGAGAAGCACGGGGAGGGTTCTTCTCAAGCTAAGATCCACATCAATATTCATGGTTGGTGATTTCAATCCCGAAGAAATCGCCTTGATGAAGCATGCAGGCTCCTTAACGAAGAAATTCGTCGAATTGATGCAAGAATACGAAGAAACACAGGGGAAATACAAGTCTCTTCTTCATGAAAGGGTTGAGCGACAGGTATCGTTGGATTTCTGTCTAATGGTACATGACGACTCAAAGGTCAAAGTTGTAAATCCAAACGCAACAGAAGAAGAAATCAAGCAAGCGGTTGAAAGTGGGGGGAGCGATATCTTTGCCGACAGACTGCTCTCTAAAGCGGATCAGGTGACAGGCTCTGGACCTTGGTGGCCCCCGAACTAATTCGATTCTCTTTCAGGTTGCATTGAACGCATATGCTGAAGTTCAAAGCAAGCACGAGGAGCTCATGAAGCTTGAGGCCTCCATCCGTGAAGTCCATCAGCTCTTCATGGACATGGCGATCATGGTAGAACAGCAGGGGGAGATGCTAGACAACATCGAAGAGCTGGTCTCAAAATCTGCTGAGGTTGCTATTTGCTTCTTAGTTCTGTCTCGCACTTGCTGAACCTTTTCTCAGTATACTGAGAGTGGAGTCGAGCAACTCATACAAGCCAAGAAGCTACAGAAGAAAGCACGCAAGAAGATGTGTTGTCTGGTCGTATGCTTCACAGTCGGTCTCCTTATCATGCTCTCCTTCGTCACGAATTTCTTGATTCCTAGAATATAAATTATTAATTTCGCGTTCATCGAACCCTCAACAGCTGCTATGCTCGTCACGTATGATCCGTTCAATCCCGCTGACAAGTTTTGGAAGCAATGATAGGCAACGATAGGAGCTAATGTGAGGGGCGAAGTCAAAGGGAGTATGTTAGTGAGCTTCCTTGAGACGGTATAAGTTGCTTCTGATTCATTATGTATTCATGTAAGGCTGATGCTTCTTTCAACCTCGTGCACACGGAACGCTTCGCCCTGTGGCTCAAACCTTGGGTGTGGCAAAAATAAAGTTCTATACAGTGATCACATCGGAGATGAATAATTTAACGAGAGAGGGACTCCTGAATCGACTGCTTCTTGGGAGGCAGCCCAGCTTCGCGAGAGAGGTGATCATTCTCCTCTTGCAACTCCTGCACTCACGTCACGCCGTCGACTTCACCTCCCCCGACAACCACCTGATTCTGGCGCTCTAGCTCCACTTTACGTAGAGTCAGGGCCTCAGCATCTGATTGCAGCTTCCTGATAAAGTCGATGGCCTCGTTCAAGATGGTCGCCTTGTCCACCGGCGCCTCTCGACAGCCAGGCAGGAGCTCTTTCAGCTCGTTCATCTTGTCGTTTATTCTTTGCCTCCTCTTCTGCTCCGTTGCATTGTGCGACTCCTTCCTCCTCTGCGTCTGACCGAGAGGATTCATCCCCACAGGACTGCCATCCTGTTCTCCCGAGGCCCTGCAAGCTCATGCGTTAGGAGAGCAGGTCGCTACAGTTAGGTAGAAGTAGCTTTCACCTGCGCTTTAGTCCCGAACTGACGGGCATGTGATTCAAGAGGCTGCTGTTGCTCGGCTGCGTCCAGCCAGCATCTGCAGCGAAGGCTTGGACCACAGGGATGTGATTCACGACTGTGATGGTGCCGGGAGGTCCTTGAGCTGAGCTAGTCAGAGGCATGGAGACTCCTCCTGCTAGGGCCACTGCGAGCAGTCAACAGCACTGCAAGTGAAACGACACTGCAAGATTTCAAGAAGGTACACGTATGTTGGGGGGATTGGAAGTGAGAGAGAGCATCGAACTCTTTCCTTACCTTGGGACATGATCTGCGAGTTGGGTTGACCGCTCAGAGCACTGACGACTGAGACAGGAGACGTGACGGGGTTCGTAGATAGATATGCGTGAGCAACGCTTGGCGGAGGCACTGCAGGGGCTGTAGCCATGCTCAAGGCAGGAGCCAGCTATACCCAAACAGCTAAGCGAGGTTCTAGGGAATGGCTATGAAGAGAACTGTCAAAAAGATCAGTCCCTTGTCGCCAATAAGAAAGAATGGAGTTAACTATAATTGAAGAAAGACTCTATGAAACACCCCCATCAGGTGCAAAGCATAGTTGACACATAAACAATAGTCTTCAACAGATATTGTATAAGTTCAATATCATCCTCTTCACATCATATTCCTAGCGCCTTGCAAAATGCCTTGCTAAGTGCCTTCCTGAAATCTATTTTCATTCGTTTCTTCGGACTGCCATACTTATCCATCCCTCTGCTCTCTCCGTCCCCTACTGTTCGCCTCTCGCTCGAGGCCTGTCCTCTTTCGCCAGCATTCCTCCCTATCCTCGCACTCCACCTCTAACTCCTTGCTCTGTGTTTGAATTTCTGCTTATTTTCTTCATAAGTACACCAGTGCAGTCGCATCCAAACTGGATTTTTCTCCTTCCTCCTCCTTGTGTTTCCCTTCCTGTACCTTACATCTTATCATATGCTCAAGTTTCCTTTCAGCTACTCTTCCATCGCACGCCGTACACTCCATTGCTGTACTTTGCTTTGCCCCACTCTGCCATTTTGTTCTCCTTCCTTCTATTCCCTGCCTCGCCTCAGCTCGCCTTGCATCGCCTTGCCTGGCCTTGCATCTCCCTTCCTCTCGCCATGCCCTGTCTCTGGCGCTCATGGCTTCTCATCTTCGCCCTCCTTCCCTCCTGCGCCTCATGTTTGTTCACCATGGCGATCACGTGTCATTAGACACGTGATCGCCGCCATGATAGTTGTAAAGTTATTTGAAATTTTGTTCAATTGTACGTAATTGGGTTTGTCAAAATTGGAAATTTACTACATTGATTTCATTCTTCTAATGGAAATGTGACCGCACGGTTACTGATCATAATTTGAACAGCATACTCCGAAATGTCCAAGTATTGTTTGAATTTTCCAAATTTCTGTTCAAGAAATTTGAAAGAGGGCAGCAACCTTTTCCCGCTACTTTTATTTACTTTACATTTTAATTTTGAAACTTCCTGGATATAATTTCAATATAAACGAACCAGCTTTGAATTTTACAATGAAGCCCGCTGCCGGCGGCCCGGGCCCGGGGCCGCGCACTGAAGTATCCTCTGAGGCGGACGTCCTATTAACCGTCGTGATCTCAGGGGGTGGGTGCAACTCTAATTTGCAGGTAGGGGTAGTTACATACCCATGTGAAGATGATAGGGACTAGGGAAATCAGAAAGGAAAAATGGGGGTAGGGGGTAGTCAAAGTAGGGGTGGGGATGCTGTTCTGTGGGCAGTGGGGTAGAGGCAACGGCTGGTCGGGCGCCATGGAGGAAGGAGCGGGATTCGAATGATAGAAGGAGGAGGATGGAAACTAGGGAGAGGAAGGAGAAGAATGAGGGGCAGAAGATGAACAAGATGGGAGAGATCACGAGATCATGTTGGTGGTGGGAGATGATGGAGTGGCAGGGGAGGCAGAAAGGAGGGAAACGAGGGATAAACAAGATCCCGATGTTTCGTTTGCAGGTAAAATGCTGAAGTTCGCAAAGGTTGGCACTGGGCTCTATTGTTCGAGTGAGAAAGTTACCATCGATAGAGCATAGGAAATAGTAGCAGACAAGTTGTGAGGTGCAAACTCTTAGAGCCCAGCTATATCCTTAGCAGGAATCTGCGGATTGTGGTATTTGTTGTGCATGCATTCAATCTGTCGAACAGACATACAGAATCTGACTGTGTTTGCAAGTAGACAGAGAGACAGTCTTCCAGCAAGGCGCCTGATCTTACAACTGTTCCTCCAGGATCCTGTCATGTTTCTAGAGAGATAGCTCGACAAAGCTTTTGACAGCCATGTCTTTGTTGGAAACTCGGAGCAAGACTGGCTCGAGGAGCGATGTTCGCCTCAGCAAGGTGGTTCCAGAAGTTCTGAGCAGAGAGAGCCGCGCGCGTCGTTACGGCATCGACTGCCCAAGTGAACTGCACTGGCATGCTAAGGAGCCGGGGGGCGACTACAAGCAGAAGCTGACTATCAAGAACGTGTCCACGCAAGTGATCAAGTTCAAGTACAAACTTCCTGAGACGAGCTTCTTCTTCATGAAGTTTCCTGACCTCTTCACGCTGAATCCTGGCATGGCGGCTTCGATTGATGTAAACTTCCGTCCTATCAGGAGTGAGCCGTACGACGACGTCATCGAGTTCATTACCACTCAGGGCAATTTCTTCATAAGGGTCATTGCTACCATGCCCGAGCACGGGGTGAAGATGCAGGAGCATCTTGATTTCGGGTTTGCTACCGTGAAGGAGGAGAGTACAAGGACGTTTGTTCTGCGGAACATAGGGGAGGTGAACGCCCCGTTTGAATTGTTGTCTGAAGCCCCTTTCGACGTCAGTCCTAAAGAAGGAGTGATTCTTCCCGGCAAGACCATGACAGTCAAGATCAGCTTCTTTCCCACAGAGGCGTCAGTGTACGTTGGAACGATCGTGTGCAAGCAGCCCATCCCTCGCCCAGCCCTAGTGATGAAGATCAGCGGGATCGGGAAAATACCTTTCGTCGCCATCTCGAAATCTGAAGTGAACTTTGGTACGGTTTTGACCGGCCGGGCAGTGAACGAGGTGATTGGCTGGCTGCGCTTCCTTAGAGCATTTCTATATGTTGCTGAACGACGATCGCAGGAAGTGATCCTTACCAACACTTCACTGGTCCCTGTGTCCTTCGAATTGAACCCAATTCCGCACGATCATGACCCAGTATTTCATTGGAAGATTGTGGGAGCAGCCATGCTAGTCTGGCTCTTGCTGAAGTCTGTTACAGGTCAAGGGAAAAATCCCAGCAGATGGCAGCCTGGCGCTGCAAGTGACGTACACTCCCATCTCCACCGGTGAGGAGCAGCTGGAGGGGTCGAGGACTGAGGACTGGTTGCTCCAGGGTCCTTCGATTGTGACTACTTCGAGATTGTGACTCCGGGAGGAAACATCCAGAAGATCTGCTGTACTCTCGCTCTGCCGCCTCCTGCGCTTGCGACTGATAGAGCTTCGAACTATCAGGCAAGGGATTCGCTGAGCCGCACTCTGTGGAGATCGACAGGAGCAGCATCAACTTTGGCAACCTGGAGCTGGGAAAGGTAATGGAGACTCTGAAGACGACTGGCTTATTCTTGATCCTTCAAGGTATCATTGAGAACTTTGGAGATCCGCAACAACACCAAGGAGAAAGCTTTCTACCAGTTCATCACTGAGTCCATGGGATGTTTCGAATTCTCAAGTATTCTTTGCTTGGTCGCTCCGAATCATCCTGATGTGGTTGAGCAGGAACGGACGGAAGCATCATTCAGGAGAGCAGCGTGAACGTTGACATCAGGTTCACTGCCCGGGTGCCTGGGAACTTCTACCGTCGCATCTTCATCCTCATCAAGAACCAAGGGCCCCTCTACCTCGACCTCACTGCTACCGCGTACGTTCCGTTGGCTGACTCCTGTTCTCCTCGCCTCTCACACTCGCATCCTTGCGCTTACAGGTACCATCAAAACCAAGATCAGGTGCCTCGACCGATGCCGCTCGCGCAGAAGCATGTCGACTTGTACCGCACGCGTCAAATGATGGAGGGGACGGCGCATGCTCGGGCTATCCACGAAGTGACCTCCTCCAACAACCCCACGAGCGTGATATGGAACGAGTTCTTTCTGGACGACACAGACAGCAGGCGGGAGATCTTTCTGCTGGAGCAGCACGTGGAGTTTGGAGCGGCTTCTGAGGTTGGGGTGGGAGACTACAAGCAGATCACAGTGCACAACAACACGGATGTGAAGCAGACAGCCATGTTCATGATCCCTCCTGACAACTACATCCGGCAGCCCGATGGGGCCGGGGAGATCACCATGACGGTAAGTTCCCTCTCCTCCTCCGCCCTCCTCGCCCTGACGTTAGAATGCTGTTGCAGACGTTGGGGCCTGTCCTGAAGCCTCTGGAAACTTGTTTTAAAGTGTTTCCCGAGAAGGCAGACGTGTTGCCGAAGAGCAGCACCACCTTCAAGGTCGCCTTCCGCCCCGAGTATCGCAACGCCTACTACGCGCAGGCCATTGAGATCTTCGTCTTCCCCAAGACCCAGCGGAACTTTCGCCTAGTCACGGACGAGAACTTCGTCCCTCCTCACTGCGTTACCCCCGTCTGCAGCGGCAACACGTTTCCGGTCGGCATGGAAGCGTTCACGCCGAAGCTGCGGGTGCCGAGCACGAGGATCAGCTTCCCAGCATGCGCTGTGAGCGACAAGGCGTACCAGATCATCGAGATGTACAACGATGCGGACACGCCGCTGCGATACCTCTTCGACGAGGACCAGACTGGCGTCTTTCGCTGCAAGCCCAACAACGGGCTGATCATGCCGCATTGCGCGCAGCTCGTCGCGTTCATGTTCTGCCCGCTGGAGGCGAAGCGGTACGAGCACGTGACGACGTGCGTCATGAACGGGAGCTCCGTGCATGCAGTGAAGCTGACGCTCATCGGGAGCGGCAACGCGACGTCGATCGAGCTGGAGACGAATCACCTCCAGGTGAAGCCCACCTGCGTCGGGTCCGTGACCTCGAGAGCGATCGAGATGAAGAACCCGACGGGGATTCCCATCCTCTTCTCCTGCCTTGTGCCTGAGAGCTGCTCCCGCGTCCTCGTGGTCGAGCCTGACCGCGGAATCCTCCGTGGCAACGAGAAGGTCAGCCTGTTTGTTCACTTCGCGCCGAGACGGGAGGGATCGTACAGCCTCAAGGTTCCCATCCAGATCGACCAGGCCAAGGTGCGGAACCTGGCGGATGCGGAGATGGGGGAGGCGGAGGACCTTGATGAGACGTTCTCCCCGAGGCAGCAGAGGAGGAGCGTCCCCTCCAAGCAGACGGTCCATCTCAACGTGTACGGGGTTGGGACGGTAGGAGCCGTGACGTTCGAGCCAGAGACGGTTGACTTCGGGACGCTGGTGGTGGGGACGCAGGTGTCGCGGGTGATCAAGTTGGTCAACCACTCGGACTGTACCATGTACCACAATATCACCTCGAGCATGGAGAAGAACTTGGAGTACAAGGACGGCAAAGGCTTTATCTCTGCCTTCTCCACCAAGAGAGTCACTATCTGCTTCACCCCCAGTGAGAGGAAGTACTACAACGTCACCATCACCTGCCGGCTCTCCACCAGCTCCGAGTCGCTCGTCACTGGCGACCATGGGCCGAACCGAACGGGAATACAGCTCCTCCAGGTCCCCTGACCCCCTGATCCTGCCCCTGTCTCTCCTCCTTCCCCTCCTCCTTCCCTCCACCTTCCTTCCAATGTCCTTCCTCCTTCCCCTTCTCCTCTGCTCCTTCCCCTGCCCCTGTCTGTCCTCCGTACTGCTGCCCACCCACCATCCCCAGTGCCTTCCCATGTCTTCTGACACTTGATGTCCACCAGGCGCTGGAGTTTGAGGATGCGCCTCAGTGTCAGGTGCTAGGCAACGCAGTGTATCCCGTCCTCTCGATCGTGGACGCGAGGGCGGCAGGGAGCGTGTTCAACCCGATCTCCTCCTCCCGGGTGTGGAGGGAGTTCAGCCTGATGAAGATGAACAAGGAGCTGTCGTCGGATCTCAACAGGAAGGAGGTCAAGTGGAACAAGGCTGAGATCGATGAGACCGATCCGACCAAAGTGTTGCAAGTGATGGAAATGAGGTTTGAGGTCAAAGAGCAGGGCTACCCCCCCAGCATGAACATCCTCCGACTCAAGAACACTGGCGTGCTCGCCCTCGACTTCCTCCTCAAGTTCCCCAAGGATGATGAAGATGAGCCTGAGAACTGGGTGGACAAAGATCTACAGGTCTGCTCCTTTTCCACCCCCCCTCTCTCCCCACCCCCTTCTTTCTCCCTCCTTCCCTCCTTCCCACCTCCCCACCTCCCCCTTTTCTCCCCCAACTCCACCCCCCTTGATCTTGATCTCCCCCACATTTCCTTTCTGTACTCCGGCCACATCCTCTGTCAGTCTTTCCTTCTGTCCTCCTCTTCCTCCCTCTCTTCTCCCTCCCCTCCTCCTTCCTCAACACAACATCGCATTGAAGTGATCGCTACAGGGCGAGGAGGAGCTGACTCTCAACATGATCCTTGAGAACAAGCTCTTCCTCTGCGAGCCTCGCAGGGGACACTTGGAGGTGGGAGAGGAAGTAGATCTCATCCTCTCCTACAAGCACCTCATGGCCACTAAGGAGTTCCGCCTCCCAGTCGTGCTCAACATCTGCGAGCTGCCTGCAGCAGGAGGCGTTCTCAACACAGGAAAGCAGATCGTTCTCTCCCTCATTGGTCAGACTCTGGCCATCGCCGAAGCTTACCTGCACCTCCCTGCTCCCGATGCTCAGCACTACAAGCACCTCGAGTGGGGCTTCGAGAAGACCCCCATAGGGCTGATTTCTCCTCCCATCCAGTACTACAAGCTCGAGAACCTTGGACAGGTGAGGTTGGGGGTTGAGAGAAGGAGAGCTGAATGGGGTCAGGAGGGAGTTGAGGGAGGGTTGTAAGTAGAAGGGAGGGGAGTAGGTGGAGAAGTTGAGGAGAAGGCAAAGACCGAGGTGGAACAGTGCAGGCAGGCACGAGGGGGAGGAGGAGGAGGAGGAGGAGGAGGAGGAGGAGGAGGAGGAGGAGGAGGAGGAGGAGGAGTGGTGGTGGTGGTTGCTGAGAGGAAGGGTTGAAGGTACCGCTGGACTATCACGTGGACATGAGCGAGGTGGAGAAACTGAACGCGGAGAACTTTGGCTTCGACGTGGTCACTTGTCTCGACAACACCGACTGGCACCTCGAACCCGGCGAGAGCGTCACCATGCGTTGGGTCTTCAACCCCCTTGAGGCGAAGGTAAAGGAGTAAGGAGGAGGAGGAGGAGGAGGAAGGGGTGGGGGGGGGGTGGAGGGTAACTGAGCAGAGGAGGATGGTGGAAGAGGAGGATGTTTCAAGAAGGAGGATGAGGAGGAGTGAGATTGAAGAGAGCGAGTTTCAAGGACATTTTGGTGTTTAGGAGGAGGCAAAGAGTAGCGTGTTGACTTGTTCCTGCAGATGTACACGTGGCAGCTTCCTATCTCAGTTTACAGCGGGGAGAGTGGGGGGGAAACGCACGTCGTCAAGTTTTACGCTGAGGGATGCCAGCCCAGCGTGCACAGCAACCCTGAGACAACCGTATGGCAGATGCCGTCGTCTCAGGTCCCCTGCTCCCCTCCCCTCCCCTTTCCTCTTTTCTCCTCTCCACTCGTCTTGCTCATCTGCTGTCCTTGCTGCTCCTGTTCTCCTCTCCTCTCCTCCCCTCTCTCATCTGCTCCACAGATCATGCCGACGCCCAACCAGCTGGTCTTGATGACGGCGGAGAGATTCTGCATGGGCAACATCCCGCTCGGCGCGACGATCCACCGGATGATCATCCTGACCAACTTCAGTCACGAGCAGGTCATGATATTCAACTTCGACCTGGACGGGGAGCTTGCGAAGCAGATGGTAGTCCTGCATCCCCAGAGCGGCGAGATTGACCCGCTCTCGCACGTTGTTGTCAAGATGACCGTGCGCTGTATGACCTCCAGCATCCTTGACTTCGATGTGCCTTGCATGGTGAGCATGATACTGTAGACGCAATTGTTCCTCCTCCTCTTCCTGCTCCTACTCCTCCACCACCTTGTCCTCCTGTCCTTCCCCACCACCACCACCACCACCACCTCGTCCTCCTCGCCTCCGTGTTGCTCGTCACTTCCTCGCACTGATTTGCTACCCGGTGCAGGTGGCACCGAAGCAAGAGCCTGAGGAGGAGAACGAGGACCTAGCAGACGACAACGAAGACGCTGCACCGCCTCCTACTAGCGGGACTGGCCGGCCATCGACAGGCATCGCGCAGTCAGTATCAGGAGGGTCAGTCGCTGGGACAGCGAAGAGCGCGAGGAGGAGGAAGAGAACGTCAGTGATAGAGCTTCCTCCTCCCATGCGCAGCTCCGTGAGGCAGAGACACGGGGGCACGCGGGGCTTCGTGAGCTTCCAGGAGAGGAATGACGGGAAAGACAGCGGCAACCGAACGCAGGTAGGGAGGACGAGGGATCAGGAAGGGGAGGATGGGAGAGGAGGAGAGAAGGATGGGGAAGGGAGAGGGGAAGGGAAGGACGGGGGAGGGGGACGGGGAGGGAGGAGGCGACCTTTCCCCTTGTAACTGTGCTCGCTTGCAAGCAGTCCTTCATGGACGACGCGGCGAGCGTGAAGAGCGGGTCGAGCAGAATCAGCGCGGCTACCGCCCAAACCTCCGTGTCCATGGCGAGCGCTCTCTCCTCAGTGAGCAGGCAGACGGGGATCGGGTCGCACATGGATCAGGTGAGACGATCGGGTGAGTTGCTGAGCGGCTGACGAGAGGAGCAGGAGGACGACGACGAGAGCTCCGAGCAGTATCTCTTCCTCTCCCTTCAAGCTCACGTCCGACCCCCAGAGCAACATCGTTCCCTGCATGAAAACAACCACGTGAGTGTGCTTTGCTCTGCCCCCCCCCCCCTCCCCTTCCCCTTCCCCTGTCTCCGATCTCACTCCTGTGCAGTTCTTCTGGTTCCCCAAGTCTAGTTTCTCCTCCCCGGACGGTATCTCCCCCAACCTGCGTCTCCCCACCACCGCCTCTAGTGCGACCAGCGACCGCCGCAGCCCCTCGCTTGCTAGCGGCAACGATCAGAGTCCTGCTAGCACAGCCACGGGCACCCGAGGAAACAGCGCTGCTGGCTCGCGCCCCTCCACCAGGGACGCCAGCCAGGTGAGAGGAGGAGTGTGGAGGAGCACTTGAACTGACAGGGCAACAGCAAGCGCAGCTGCGCGCCAAGGTCACGGAGGGGATTCTGGAGCAGTTGCTCAACGACATCATCAACGACGACCAGGTGCCTGAGGTCTGTGCTCTAGAGCCCCTGCTGACCTCCGAGCAGATCCTCAACTCCTTCACCCAGCTGGAGGAGGCGCCGGTCCCGTGCTTTGTGCAGGTAAGAAACCAGTGGGAGAGTCTGGAGCGCTGAAGGGAAAGCGGCAGGTTGCCAAGAGGCCTCCTGCGATCTTCCAGTGCGAGGAAGCGTCGAGGTGAGACCTCCTCGTCAAGCTCTTGTAGCTGACTGCAGATGGAAGCAGAGGGGAGGCAGAGGCGGTCGCGGATGCCGCTGAGGTTCGTTCATCTCTGCCTGTGCTCGTTCGTGACATGCTGTCTGGCTCAGAAGGCTCACGAGGGAAGGAAGCGACGGGTTTACGCGGGCATCGACGTCCCCGGGCATAGCGCAGAGGTAATAGCGTGCTAATTTCAGAGGAATAGTGCTGACCTACTTGCTCCCAGGTACCGTTGGAGTTGACGGAGGAAGAAGAGGAGGAGCTACAGAGGGACACAAGGAGGAGGACGGCCATGAGCATGCCGGAGTTTGAGAACCTGGCAGCCTTTGTGCTGAACGCGTGTATCTTTAACTTTTTGGAGGAGCTGACCTATGGAGAGGAACAATTATGAAGTACAAGGTCTCTTCACTTCACGTGCAGCTGCTGCTGGGTGTCGTTAAGGTCGGGGTCGAAGACGAAGTACGGTTTCTTCCCCCGGAACCTGATGAACAAGTCAGAGCTCCCATGCTGATCGCCAACAGACTCACTCTGCCCTCAGTCGCTCAAACTCTTGCATGTCGAACTTAAGCACATGCCGACGTGGCTCTTGATTCTCAGACGCCGCGCTGTGTTGATCGACCTTCTTTGCAATGATGTGACCTTGCGCCGGATCCTTTTCGAGGGCTAGAATGTTTTGATTCACCAGGGCTGAGCAGTCGAAGAGATTTTCAATTGTCTCCCCGAATGAGTCAGGGTTGAAGAAAAGTTCAGCAAATCTCATTGTGAAATCCCGACTCCACGACTCAATCTTGCTCCTGATTTGTCGCTGTCTCTTTTCACTGTTTCGTTTGTCGCTGTTTGCATCTGAGCCTGTCAAAGGAGTGGTCTCCTCCACCTTCACAAGACGTCAACAATCGTCGGACGAAGGGTCCCAGTCTCTTACCTGTCGCCTCTTCTGCCTCACAGCTTGCTTTCTCACTTTGGGTTGGATGTCCTTGCCAAGCGGGTGTGACATGAAGTGAATGCTAGGTGTATAGTCGCAGAAGGCAGCAGCATGTCGGTCCATCTTGCTCCAGTCGATGTCCACGTCATCTTCTTGCGAGGGATTCAAAGAGCGAACGCTGTACATCTCCACTGTGTTGATTACAAACTGCTTGGTGCTAAAACGACCTCCCTCCGTGTCCGCATTCTTCGCGCGATCAACTCCACACTTGATCATACGATTGAAGCATTCTGCTTCTTTCGACATCGCCACCGGATGTTGCACATCCGCAAGCTGCGCATTGCTCCTCTCTACAAAGTTGAGGAGGATTCTCCCTCCCTGTTCTTCTCTCGCATTCGTGATCACATGGCTGTTTGCTTTGAGGAGAGCGTTAGAATCTTACACCGGAATGTCAGGATGGAGGAGATTTACCTTTGATCTCCTCATCAAGTTCATCGTATTTGCGAAGCTGTTCTCGTACTGCATTCCTTGTCCTTAAGGCGCTGCGATGGCCGTCGCTCATTCTGCATCCCGAGAATGTCAATGTCCTCGATCGATTGTGAGAATCCCGCTGAAATGTCTCGGAAACAAACTAGGGAGTTCGCATTCGCATTAACCAATCGATGGCTAACTTTCTATCAAGCTCAAATCGCAACACCCTTACATCTCAACATCTCGACCGAATGCACCCTTCGCAACATTGATGCTCTGCTGTTACCTAACCGAATGAATATCCAAAAACGATTCCATTCTTTAAATCTCATCCTATTTCCTTCAAGCTTTCTCTCTCCGCTTACAGTTTCATTCACTTATTCTCTTCCCTGTCTCCCTGCCCTTCCCTTTACCCCCCCGCCCCCCCGCCCCCCATCTTCTCTCTGTCTCTGTCTCTACATTCCCCCCCCCCCCTCCCCTCCCTCGAAGTTTCGTTGTTCCTACATTTGCGCGGGAAGTTTGGTTCCGCCACCCCTACCTCCCCCATGTCCCTTCTTGGCAGGGGTCTTGACCACCCTCCACATTTCTCAGACACCAGTTGGACCCTACCCCGAATTTCCCACTTCAATATTGCTCATATACACCGGTATTATTACCTGGAAGACTACCCCACCTCAGATTCCCAAATTTCCTACCTCCAGCAGAGCACCTGGACCCCTCTAAATGTAATCCCGTTGTGTGAGTACCCCTTATTATGAGCTAAACATACCCACCCTATGAGCTTCAAAAACTACCCCATTTGCCCATGACCCTCTACATAAAAACATGCCGGAATGCCGGTGAAGCGGGCGGAGCCAATATGTCGTCGATGCGAGAGGAGAGGGTAAGGAGGAGGTGGATCGGAGAGAGGAAGTGTCGGAAAGAGGAAACAGAAATGGGAGGGAGCTGATGCAGAGCTACTGTGAATAGAACAATCAATGTGTGTAAGGAGGAAGGATTCAAAAGGCCATTACCAAGAGTTTCTGATTCTTGTTGGCCAGGCACATCGCAAAGAATTGCCCTTCGGCAACTACATGTGATCGATGTGGACGAGCAGGTCATGTAGCCAAGGATTGTATGAGGGGGAGGGGACTCTCATGCCATATCTGTGGAGGAACTCATTTTCAACGAGATTGTCCGAGGTCTTTCTTGATGCTCGTCGGAAGATGCTGAAGCAATTCACAGGAAAGATAACAAAAAGAGGAAATTAAACGATCCTGAGATGTTAGAGAAGAACAGAGAGATCACAGAGTTCAGAGAGGCAAGGAGAAGCTTTGTTTCAGAGGAGGAGGTCCCCCATGTCAGCACCCCCCTTGCATGGAGCTCGACCCTCGCCCCCTCTTCCTCCAAACATCTCAAGGCTCATGTTGTCCCTGTCACTGTCGTCAGATTGAAAGCGGAGAGGAATGGGGATAGTGGAGAGAGAGCTCCAGACGATCATCACCCTAAAGGTACGTGGGGGGTTCTTTTTCCTTGTCATCCTTGCGACGGAGTCTACATCATCCTTGCCTGTTACCTCTGCCTTGCTGATAGCTCACTGTTTGCAGATGGAGGCAGCAGTCTGAGTCTAATAGCGAGCTACAGTTCTGATTCTGATTAGGGTTTGAATGATGGTTTATGTATGATAGTTTTATAGTAAATCAAGCCCTTTCCTGTGGAATATTCTCACTTTCTCCCTCGCTTCTCTCGTTTCAAAGGTTCCTTCTTTGGGACATAATCTTGATTCTCCTTGCTAATCCTGGCTGCTAGCTTTTCAATCTCCTTCTTGTCTTTCTGTGTAAGTTTCGACAACCCCAGCCGATTCTCGATGAGGACTTTCTGTACACCATCCTGCAGTCTGATCAGTCCAATGGGAAGCTCGGGATGCAACCTACCTCGCACTGGTCCGACGTGTCCAGAATGAATTGATTCGCATCAAAGTTTATCTTCTTCAACTCGTCGATCATGTGATGGTAGGCGGGTAAGAAGTATTCGTTCATAGCTCCATCCCCTTCGTCGCTATCAGATATATCATCAAGGCTTCCTGCGCCCTTTGCCTTGCCTACGACATCCGGCTATCAATTCCATGCATGTGTCTCTGAGGCTTAATGAAACTTACGTGGTGACTTCCTCTTCTTGCCAATCTCAAGCATCCACTCAGCTGACTTCATCATGTCCACTCGACGTTTCTGCATTTTCGATAGATTTTCTGGTGTATCGCTTTTTTCAAGTTGGAGTGTATCCACCACAGGCTGGGAGGAGGGATATTAGCGCATGAGACTGGTGATTTTTCGTAACTCACTTGATCTGTAGCCTTGCTTTCTTGTTGTTCCTTTTCCTCTTCCAACCTCATCTGCGCAGAGGCTTCTTCTCGTTTCTTCTTCTCTTGATGCTCCTTGAAGAACGCTTTTATCTGCAAGTATCTCAGTCTTGTACTTGATCAACAAAGAAACAAGAATTTCATACCATTTTGGGTATTTTTGCGTGAGCCTTAGGCTTTACAGAACTTGGGGTCGATCCATTCCCGTTCTTCGAAGTTGCACTTTTTGACCCTTTAGGATTTGACCTCTTGGGAGTTTTAGGATTTGAGCTCTTGGGAGTTTTAGGATTTGAGCTCTTGGGAGTTTTAGGATTTGAGCTCTTGGGAGTTTTAGTGCTCTTCGTAGTAGAGTTCTTGGTGCTCTTCTGGGTCAAAGTTTTCGAACTCTTGGGACTCAAGCTCTTGGTATTCTTAGGGGAAGAGCGCCTCTCCGAAGAGCTCGTGACATCCTTGACAACCGGTGCATTCGTGGGCGACATGCTCATAGCGGAGCTCTTGGCGTTCCTTGGCGTAGTGCCGTTAAGTTTACTGGCCTGGTGCGACTGATTGCAAAATTTAGGATGACACAGCGAATCATCAATACCCTTCTAAGATTCACCTGAACGTTTCTAAGAGTTCGTGGAGATGATCTGTGAATTTTGGCTTCACGTGACAAATATGTCATGAAAAGTCTCACCGCGAATCGACATCTGATTTCCTTTTCACATCGGCTTCCTGAGCATCTTTGTCCATTGAGCGATGATCTCCCTTCTTCTTACTTCCACTCTCATTTTGGAGAGATTCATCCATTCTCTTATCTTTCATTAAAAACATATGTGTGTCAAGGCATCGCAATATCAGAAAGAAATGGACAAGAGTATCTTTTCGGCAAATCACCTGGTTTCATTGGTGTTGTTTTGGCCCGCTTGCTGCCCGACTTCCCGTTTTGATTCGACACTTCCATGTTTTGATCGGATTTCCTCTTTCCCTTGCTATCTGATGGTGTTTGCAGATCGGACCGGTCTCTAGACAATTCATGCTTCCCTGTCTGCTTGCTCGCAGACTGTTCTTTTGTCATCTTTCCAGGTTGCGTCTTCTTTGCAGGAGTCTTCTTTGCAGGGGTCTTTGTGGTAGGTGTGTTCTTCGCTGGAGGAGTAGGCTGACTTGCTGCCTTCGCTGAGAACTCCTTTGCTTTCTTTGCGGGGGGTTCTATTGCCAATTCCTTGTTTTGACCTGCGTGCGGGTCAAACTGAGTGGCTGGGATGTGGCCAGGACAAACGAAGTTAAGATGTGACAGAGAAGAGAAGAAACAAAAAGAGACACGAGGCTTGAAATCATTGCAACGACTTCACACCTTGATTCTCGTTTTTGCGCTTCCTGCCCGCTCCTTCAACGGGCGACCCGGCCGATTGTTTCCCCTTTCCCCCAGGGCTCTTCGAACCAGCATTCTTCTTCGCTGACTTGACTGCATCTTGGCCTTGTTCCTGCTCATCTCTCTCAACAGAGCTGACGACATCAGCATCTGACTCTCTCCTCTTCTTCTGGAACGGCCTCCTCCCCGTCGACGGGTCGAACTGTCCCGCCATGCCGCACCGCTTTTTTCCCGCCTTCGTTAGTCCTTGACCCGTTGACCGTCCTGGGCCTGTTGACCAGCAGTACAGTGCCACCGTGTGATCATTGATCGGATCCGGCGGGCCCGGCCGCCCGGCCCGGCCGCCGCACCGTTCTTCATGGCCTGCACCCGGGCCCATGACTCAGTGATCGGACTTAACTTTGAGTAAAGATCGGACGGCGGCTGCGGCTACTGCCGGGGCATCAGCTACGGTTCCTTGAAGTCAAGATGACAGGCCCTGAGGGCCGGGGAGGCTCGTAGCACCACTCTGAGGAGGAGCCGGGAGGCTGCGGCGGGCGCCACGAACTTGAAGTTCGATCCGATCATCCCGGCCCTTTCCTATCGTGACATGCAGCTGGACTGGCTAATTGAAAGCCTACTCAAGTTATTCAGTTTCGAACCCAAGACATCATCGTACGCGGATCAACTAAGTTTGATACGGTATCTCGGTCTGCTGTTCAATGATTGTTTTCTTTTATGCATTAGCAGTATCATGTTAGTCCCAGCAGCGCTTGGTGACTTCAAGTACGGAACTTCCGAAAAACAAACCTTCCTATGGAGTTAATTTGCACGTGCAATACATCTTTATGTGATTTCACGTCTTCTTCCCCTCCTTCCTAGTCTTTCTCCTCCTTCTCTTACAAAGGCTGAAATCATGTTTTGAATGTCTTGTTTATACAGAAACGCATTGCCCTCCCAACCTACTCTTTTATCTATTTTCCCCACCAGGGATCGCTCCCAACACTGTATCGCTTCCTCTGTTTCTCAGAACTGCACGTAAATATTCCCAGATTGATCGGGCAACCCTTTTCAACTTTCTTTTCTGTACCGTAAGAGCCTCCCAGCACAAAAGATTGGTTATACTTGGTCTGCCCCTTGCACCATTGCGGCAGGGTGTGCACATATGGCTCGAGCTCGGCGGGGTCTTCAAAGATAACAGGCTGCTGAGAAGGAATGAGAAAAGTAGAGAGAGAGCGAGAAGTCGAATTTCTTGTCGCACAAAGCACTATTCGTATAACCGGATGACATATGCTGGTATGACGTGCTGCCATATCTGAAGAAGTTTTGTCCAGAATTGGAAAATATCAGGATAGAATTCGAAATGTTTGATAACAGTCGTACAATCACAGAGAACGAAGGAGAGGTAGATAGGTAGATAGGGAGGGAGACAGGTGTGAAGAAGGGAGGGGGCTGAGCGTGTGTTGTAAGTGTAGGAGGAGGGGGATGCAGGATTGGTTCGCTGATGTAGGTTAGGGGAGGATGGGTTCAATGACCATTTCTTTTTATCGGGATAAATCCGATGCGACCCGTGACACGAAAACCAGTCGTTTCAGGAAATAAGTCGGATGCTAAATCAGTTTTACTATCGAACCTATCTCCCCCGGAGGCCAAGGGAGATACCTCTGATCTTTTACTTAGGACCGGAATTGAGAACTCGCCGAATTCTTCGGTTCTGCCCATCCGATAAGATACGGTCAAGCCACTTACGACTGACTGTCCGGTCACAGGCTTCAAGTTGCCCGTCACTGGCCGTCGGGGGCCGGACGTACTAGTATGCAATACTGCCGTAGTTCTGTTGGATGAGTTAAATCTTTCCGTACTGCGGCTGACGCCTAGGCGCAAGCCGCTTCAACCGCCGGCCCCCGACGGCGACGGTAACACTTGGCAATCGGATGATCCGATGATCCGATAGCAACTCGACAGTACGGTCACCGTGACTAATCAATCGAGTCGCCGTAGTAATCGTCACGGCGCCGTATGGCCAAGTGTGCGACAGAGTGTCAGGGTCAAGCCTCCTCGTCTCTCCTGATTTTCCTCGTACTTACTGATCTTGAACTTAACTTTGAGGGCGCCGCTGAGGCCCTGGCAACTGTTCCGAGTCACTCAGTGGGAGAGGAGGGGAGGCGGCTAACTTATTAAGTTGTGACCGCCGCCGGCCGCGTGCAGTGCCTCCCGGAGTTTCAAGTTTGGCGGACGCCGGGCGTACGGCCCGAGCCTCCGGCGGACTCCGGGGCCGGGGTCCGGCGGCCGCCTCAGCTTCATCGGTCCCATCCATTATTTACATTTCGAGTCTAGAAGAATCGTTGATTGATGTTTACTGAAAACTCTTTGAGAATACTATCATGTATCATAGATGTCGGAATGTTGATTCACGGTGGCCGAGCCCTGGCGCGAGCCTAAGCCGGCGCTATCGGACTCCGAGCGCCGGGCTGCGTGACGGTCGGACTCAGTCGGAAGGCGGGGGCCCGGGCACGGTATGAGCGGCCGCGGCATGCGGCGGCCGCAGAGCGACGGCGGGCGGGCCTTAGCCCGACGGTCCGGTCACGGGCCGGCTGATCGTGTCCGACTCGCGAGTCTCGGAGTGTGCCATGGTGCCGCCGCCCCGCGGCCCCGCGGCGGCGGCCCGGACTCGCCGATGATCATCGGATTACAGTGAGCCGCGGAGAGCGGTAGGCCCGCAATCGTAGTGCCGAGTCCGCATCAGTGCCGGATTTAGAGCAGCGCCGACATGTTCGCACTGGTGAGATGCGATAGGAACGGGAGGAGAGGGAGAGGGGGAGGGGAAGACCGAGGAAGAGAGGAAGGAGGACTTGACATATGAGAGAGGGACAGATGAGAGGAAGGGAAGACGCGGGGGAAAGTCTGCCTATCTGTCATGAGTGAACATCTCACTCTGACGAAGAAAGTGACATTGGGAATAGTTGAGGGAAACCAAGAAGTCACAGCTCTTCAAGGAACACGAGCACAAGCTCAACGCAAAGGACCATGAAGCTGACAACACATTCTGCTCCTGCCCACAGATATATGAGGTTTGACGAGTTGCCGTCATGGCTGTCTGTGTGTGACGGGACTGTTACTTCAGATTACATCAAGTTTCAAGAGCGCTCAGCTGTTTTGTTCGTGTCCCATGAATTACCATCATGCAATTTATTGATTTTTGATGAAACGTTGTTAAGACAGAGTTCTCACTGACGCAGGATGCCATGTTAGATCAACCTTGACACATCGTTACCATTGGTAGCGATTTTTCAAAATGCTATTCATGGCATTCGTTCCTTTGTCATTTTCACACGAAAGCTACTCTGTCGACGGAGTTTGAGGAGGGAATTGTTTTTTCACTCCCCGTTTGAATTCAGCGCGATTGGTTTCTTGCGGAAATAACATCAAATAGAGTGTATGCGAGATGAGAAATTTGGTTTGAGCTAACTCTCAAAGAAAGTCATCACTTTGAAGATCGAGATTAGACTGCGATTCATAATTTACAGTAACAACATGCATGCCTCTACAGACTATTTACAATTACCCGACCATAAATGATAATGACAGATTGCTGGTAGCGAAAAGCGGCTTGCTAGCAGACCAGTATTCCAGATCAGGAATCTGATTGACCGTAGGATGGCAGCATGTACCTAGATCAGAGCAAAGGTGAGTAATGGAAGCAAGGCAAACACTGTGTTATGTTACCATCAAAAGCTCCAATCTTCCTGTCCATTGAAGGGTCGAAGCACGTATCTTCATCTCTTTCGGCGTCTTCGTGGGGTTTTGGAGGGTGTTCGAACAGACTTCGATACGCTGCTTCTTTCATGAACATAGGGTCTTTGTTATGAATGAAGATCGCTGCTTGCTCTTGATCGTGAAAGACAATCTTTCTCCATTGCTGTCGACAATCCCGTTAACTCTGTTTCGAGAGAGATGGCAGTGTTGCAGGCACCTGCGGTTGGTTCTGACTGATTTTCCTCTGGTTTCGGAAGTGCGAGCTAGGATCTTGCAGTGTTTTTGTTTTCTCCATCTCCATGCGCAGCATCTCTAGCAGCTCATCTGCATTGCTGACATCGTCCTGGTTCTGGGCTGATTCCCTGATATCATTGACGGCGTCTATCGCGCTCCTGGCCAGCCGTTCGATCCTTGAGAGGAGGAGTAAGTGGGCAATCTAGTGACCAGAAGATGCTACCTTTCCTGATCTGACATCTCTGTCTTCCTGGAGATGTCATCTTTCAGCTGTTTGTAAGTGAGCAACGGCATAGGAAAGCAAGAGGAAAGCAGACAGCGAGCAGCTTGTCTCGTTCTTGTGCCACTCTTGCCCTCTGAACAGCATCTATCAGTACTCGCGCGACCTGAACTTGTCCAATTCTGACTCCTGAAAGACGCAGATCAGGACAAACGGAGAAGTAATGCCGACTCACCGGAGGCAACTACTTCACGAACTCCAAACCCACCAGACTCTGCCGTGCGGACGCAGGCGATTCTGATGAATCTGCCGTGTGCCCATCGCTGCATTGACAAGGTAGGGTTCAATAAGAGCCTCAGCGATCACAACAAGGATCACAAGGCCGGCGAGGAGATGTAGGTCTGTGACGAACCTTTCGGTGTACCGCCTTCGAAACCTGTGGCTGAGGAGCTCGTCAGCCCGATAGACAAGAGTCTACAACCATTTACGCTGATGCTGCAGCATGTTCGGGAACGGCTGAAAATGGTGCTGCTACTGTCTGGAACAGCATTTTTGGGAGTTTCAATCCTGTCGTTTCAGCAGTCCCTGACATGTTGAGAGTAGAAGCCTTGGTCATGTAAACCAGATCCAACGAAGTTTCCAAAACCTGTGAAATGTCAACCTGCCACAATCCCGACAATTAGCTCACATAATCAGTGGCATAAAGAGAGGAATCCCAGAATATTGTGACCTGCGATCCATTTCAACACAAACAAGGATGACAGATGATGAATGCACGTTGTGGATTTCGAAAGGAGCACCGAGGTCCACAACCAACCATTCATGCTGATCTGAAGAGCTTTTCCACATGGTGCAAATGTTTCCATCCAGAGCAGATCCTCCATGACGAGGCCAAACTGCGTGCCGTGGGTTGAGAAACACACCAACATCCTTGAATCCCCACCTTCATTCAACTCTGTCGAGCTGGACGAATATGCCTTTGAGAAGGCAAGGTTGCCTGCGGCGTGTGATGGAAAGAAATGATAGTTTGCAAACGAAGGATTGCAGTAGTCCTGAAAGGTTGCAAGGGTTTACAGCAAAGTCACGTTGCACATCAAAGAACCATGTTCAACTTAGTGAAGTTCTTTTTGTCAGGATCCCCCCTGCGATCGAGCAGCTCTGAGATGGGGAAAGAGCATGTTAGTTCAACAACGATGGTGCAGGAAAGATATCACCATGATACTTCTTGTCAGGGATGTACGGCTTCCCCCTCGTGTCTTGCAGAAACTGTTCTTGCGGGGTTTCTTTCAGCCTTTGTCGATTAGCACTCAATCTGTAACGACCTCAGTCTTAGCAAGCATCATTTCCCGTAGCTATCAAGACGAGACATGCAGAATTATCAAAATAGACTGGTATGGTTCTTGAGGACGAGGAGCATTCTTCGGATCAAACACCTTGGCACGCACTTCTTCTCACCTTGCTCTTTCCATCTCAAGCTCTTGCCTCACCTCCGCAATCCTAGCCCTGATGCTCTTCAGTTCGCTAGCCCTGTTGTCCCCCTGCACCTTCACGCCAGGGAAGTTGGCATGCTCTGGTTGCTGCCTGCTGCACCTCACGAGCAGCATAATCGCAAGCGCCCGGATGGTCGCGGCATGAAGGCGGGACATCGATCCAGACAGTTAAAATAATTGTTCACCCAAACACTACTGGAAAGACCCTTTAAGTAAAAATTATGTACAAAGTGAATACAACAAGATTTAAAAAGCTTCGCAGGACCCAGCTGGCATTTCGCCTTTGACGTCAGTGGGTTCTAGTACGTTGGGCAGGAGTCGTCGACCGACTTCGCCCAGCTGACGAGTCCCCCGCAAACATTCTTGACCTTCCCTTGACCCAGAGCTGAGCTGAGAGGGCGTGAGAGAAGAGCAGGAGGACAAAGACGTGAGAAGTTGAGGGAGGACAAACACGCGGGGGAAGCTGGAAAGGAGAACAAGGCTTACTCGGACACAAATATCCCCCTTTCCTTCATCTCCAACAGCTTGAAGGTCTGGCGGCTCAGATCAGAGGGGAGGAGGCAGCGGGAGTGCACTCACAGCCTGTCTCGAGAAGATTCCTCGCCGGCAGATTACATAGACCGACTCTGCATCAGAGCAGAAGTCCTCAAGTTTGGTCCCTTCCTACAGCTGGGGATCAGTTGATGCCTTGTCAGCCACCTCTCACCTTATCTAGCTCCGCCAGTGGCAAGTTGATCGCCCCATTGAGGTGCAGCATGTCGAACTGCGTCCCGCCGTCAGGTTGCCCAGATGTCTGCTAGAGCAAGGAGACCTGCGTTCTATCCCTCACATCCAGCAAGACATGTTTGACTCCCTTCTTGCGGATGTCTTGCAAGCAAGTCAGTCATCCAGCAGCAGAGACATGGTCCGTCTCGCACCCGCGTACTCCTGACAGGTCACGGAGTTGCCTGCCGGCAGATCCTCGCCCTGTTTTGAGTTTGCGGGGCAGTAGCCTGGCCCAGGTGCATTCACAGCTGGAAGAATCACTCAGAAGAAGCCCAGCAGCGAGCAGCTCCCACCAATCACTGCAGTCAGCTCCGGGTCGTCGCCGCAGATCGCACAGCTGGAGTTCCGAGGTCTCAGGCGAACGTTGCGGAAGGAGCACCTGCAGTAGCAAGGAGACAGTCACTGCCTTGATGTATCCTTGTTCCAGCGTACGTGAGCGCCGAGTACAAGAGCATCCGGCCCGCCATGACCTCCTCTGCTGACTTCCCGATGGCAATTTTGATCGCTTCAAGGGCCTGAGAGAACCTTGTCATTTCGCAGCTTCATATTCCTCCTCCATGCCTGTAAAGTTCCAATCACCCCAGGGACCGGCCCCATGACTCCCCCATCCGAGCAGTCTGTCACCGTCTCTGGAGGAGGGGGGTTGGGGAATATGCACCGATAGCAAGGCCCCCCCTGTATGGTGTCAGTCGGGGCTGTGAGATAGCGAGAGTGCCTTGAAGTTGTAGACAGTCAGTTGCCCTTCGAGCCTCAAAGCGCTTCCAGACACAAGAGGCTTCTTTGCCAGCACGCAAGCGTCATTGACCATGTATCTGCTCCTCATTGTCACGATCGTCGCACTCTCAAACTTGGTTATCACCTTGTCGCAACGTTGTCGCTGGCATCCAACACAACATCGTACGACTGAGTGAGTTCATCAGGAGCGAGCACATGGGCGCTAGACACTCGCTCTACCTTGACGAGCTCCAGCGCGTTATCGACGCTCATGAATTGTTTGTAGACTTCGACTTGCAGTTTACTTCGTTCCGCGCCAGGACACCATTCAGATCGGCATGGCTGGGAGACGAGCACTACCTGTTTATCGCCTTGCAAGCGATGGCACCTGACTCTGCCTTGTTCACTCCAGTTCGTGCCTCAGTATGCATGACCTTCATCGCACGCAGCATCGTCAGCATGTCAACCACGTTCATGTCGCCTTGCCGACCCTCTCACCTGACGATGCAGATTACTCGTCTCAACGTTGTCCCCATCCACCAACCCCAGACGAGATATTCCCGCTCCTACCATGATGGACTGAGTCTTCGAAGCAGACTTCTTCCTCAGTCTCTTCACAACCTGCCAGGTACAGGGCGGCGGGAGACCCCAGTCCTCCGCAACCCACAACAAGGACAGCGCACTTCTCCAGTCTTTCTTGGCCCTCGACACCAACCTGGATGAGAGAATGAGGCAGAGGAAGCAGGAGGCAAGAATGTCGCGCCACCACCTCGGGAACGAGCATCTGCCTGCTGTACCTCTCTGTCTCCTCCTTCCCCAGCCTGCACGTATGCTCCGACATGGTTTCTTCGCCCCCTGTTACCCTCATCCCCCCCCCCCAATCCGCTGGGACTGGCTGGGAGCTGGGTGGGTGATCCATGCGACCCAGGAGGGGTACTTTTACCGTGATTTGTTCTTTCAGTGCCATACAAACGGTATCGTGAGTGGGGGTAGGGTACTTTGATGTATGGGGTGGGGTGGGCGTAAAAACAATGCGACGGGAGAGGGAATATATGGCGGGCGAGGAGGAGGGAGGGAAGGAGAGGAGGAAGAGGAGACTGAATGGCTGTCGACAGCGAATATTGATAGATGTCATGATTGTTCTGGTCTAGGTTTCTCAAGTGTTTTTTGTATGCGTGTGTGGCGAAATATGCTTGAATCCTTTGAATCGATTTGTACAAACTCCTTTGTAGAACGAAAGCACATCTATAGAGATCAAGCTTTCATGCATTTTACCTATTTTTGTACGTAATTTTCTTGTATTTGTGATGTTGATAAGATGTCTGTCTGTCGACAAGGTCTCAGATCAGATCGTTTGTTGATCTGGCAAAGATACATTTCAAGTTCATCTTTAACACATTATTGCACACTCGTTCTAGCAGGCTGACCCATCTTTAGATGACGAAGACATCAATCTTTCTGGTTGTTCTTGCAGTTGCGGCAATTATGCCCGACAACATGTTTGTAAATGGTGCCATCCCACCAATCAAGCAAGACTCCTTCAAAGAGTTCCACATCGTCAAGAACGTGGACGATTCTCAAGAAGTGACTCTGGATTCCCACACTTGTCAGTTCACCTACAGGTGAGTTCTTCTCTTGCTCTACTTGTCACATCCTCCTCTCTTCCCACTTGCTTCGCCATGGCGCTTTCTTCTAAACACCTCCTCAGGGCGATGAACTCCGCCCATGGCGAGCTTTGGAGGATCGAGATGCAGCACGATCACGGACAGTACACTTGCATCATAGAGGATCAAGACAAGAACCCTCCTCACGCCTCCTTCCTCGGATTCTCCGCTCATCTGGTCGGAGCGAAAGACAACACCTTGTTGATGCACGAAGTTTGGAACCACCAGGTACTGAAGCAACTCTTCCGAGCGCGCGACGATTGTCGCTGATGTGTGCATTGTCTTGCCTGATTTCTCTGCGATCAGGGAGTCTTGCTGGAGTCTGACGGATACATCGAGGAGGGCAACTCGGTTCGGAGTGATTCCCACTGGAACTTGGGTGGGTTGAGCCGCATCGTGATCAAGGGGCGGTGATTGGAGGAAGCTGAGGAGGACAATGGGGTCATGTAGGATGGTGTGATGAAGAGAGGGAGGGAGGGAGGGAGGGAAGGGAAGGAGGAGGAGGAGGAGGAGGAGGAGGAGGAGACATGAACATAATGTACAATGATCATACCACCGTGCATACCCCTACCCCCAAGTCCTTGTCATTATCATATCACACCGGTACTTTGATATGGATATCGATGGGTCCATTTACTACCCTACCCATGAGAATGTGGTCCACCCTTTGCCCGATGATGCAGTGAAGGCATGAAGCTAGGGGTAACGCTCCTCCTCCTCCTCCTCCTCGCCATCCTCCTCCCGGCCAGTAGATGCGGCTCTCCCTACAGGATCCTCCTCGACCTGGTGGAGGATCTTGACAGAGACGGAAGTTTCGTGGAGATAGGGAGCGATAGAGGAGAGGGCAGCACGGCGTTCTTGTGGAGCCTGTCGTCTCAACTGGGGTCAGACTTCTTCTCTGTGGACTTTTCTCAGGAGGGATACGAGAACGCAAGACGTGTGTGCAGCGAGTGTGCTCATCGTGAGCTCGGAGAGCAGTTTCTCAAAGAAAATTTCCCCAACCTCTCCAACTTCGGGCGAGTTTCCTTTGCCTACCTGGACAACTACGATTGGATCTGGGCAGGAGAGCACCCGGACAGCTACAAGCATGTGTATCCTACCATGATCTCCGATCATGATCTCAGCCAGTACAAGTTCAAGATGAGGAAGGAGTACGAGCAGCAGGGGCTGACGCTTAACAACCAGAAGTCCCAGGAAGCGCATCTGGAGCAAGCCAAGGTCGTCGATAGGTGCACCAGAGTCCCCTTGGGACGAGGAGCACTCACATTGTTCTCCTCTCAGACTCTGCACTGATCGTTGCATCATCCTCTTCGACGACACTTTCCAGATCGGTCAGCCATGGGGGCTGCCGCCTCGTGAGTCGGACTGACTTTTCCGACGGCAGGAGGAGGTCGATACAGCGGTAAAGGAGGAGCCGCGCTCCGCTACTTGTTAGAAGGCAATCGTTTCGAGGTGAACCCGTCCTGCATCTTCATCCTCATCCTCATCCTCGTCCTCGTCCTCTTGCCCCCTCGTCCTCGTCCTCGTCCTCGTCCTCGTGCTCCTCCCTCCTCCTCTCACTAGTTCGTCGGCACAGGTCATCATGCAGTCCAGCCCGAGCGCTCCTTCCTACGATGGCTTCGTCATGGTACGCAAGCTCGCAGTCTCGGACGAAGGCGGCCCAGAGCCTCGCCCTCAGTCGGAGGCGGACGCGAACGGCAGCTCTGCCCGTGATAGCGTCCCGCAGCTACAGCTGTTGTCACCAGGAGACAGGTCAGGGGTCAGCTGCTGTGCAGCACAGGTTGTGGTGGAGATGACTGGAGCGGTTCAAGACTGGCACACACTGGTCTTGCCCTGCTGTGTTGGAATCAACACTGACCGAGCAGTGGGCAGGTGGTTTACGTGGACTACCTAGAGACGTTCAGGAAGATAGACTGGAGTGAGGAGCAGATGCGAGGGACGGGAGAAAAGGTGAGAACGAGTCGTTGATGCCGCCTCTAGTAGCAGTGAGAGCTTGCTCAGGTCAAGTTCGAGGTGTTCTACGATGAGCGGAAGCATAAGGTGCAGGAAGAGGAGGAGGAGGAGGAGGAGGAGGAGGAGGAGGAGGAGGAGGAGGAGGAGGAGGAGGAGGATGGTTTTGTGATCGAGTGACGTTTTGATCCTCAGGACAAACCGGTCACAGTTAGCTTTCACATCGTCATGCCCTGCGCAGAGGTATGACTGGAGCTCCCCTCCAGAATACCCTCTCATCCTACCTCTTGTTTTCTCCTTCTTGTGCTCTCCTCTACCTCTTCCTCCTCGTCCTCCTCTCCTTGTTCCCTTCTCTACATCTTCCTCGTCCTTCGCTTTCATCGACATCATAACTTTTCATCACTCGAGCCTTATATTCATCATCTTCTAAAACCTTCTCTTCCTCTTCTTCCCTTCTCCCTCACGAAGAGTTCCCTCTTTAGCATCTTGTTTCCCCCCACTGATTTGTCTCACAGTCTTCTGTTGACTGCTTGGATCTTCAAGTTATCAGCAACTCGACTTTTCAATTCAACTTCCAGTAAACCAATCCTCCTCCTCCTCCTCCTCCTCCTCCTCCTCTTCTCAACTTTTCCTCGTTTTCTTTTTTATTACATTGCGATACGAAGCTTCGCTAGCCACTGCAAGTAAGAATCGTTGTCCATGGGAACGAACTGCGACTTAGTCAGGAAGTGGGAGAAATCTTGAGAAGAGCGGGGGAGGAGAAGGGAAAGGGACAAGGCAGGAGAAGAATGAAGATAAAAGTGGGAGGAGACGGGAAGAGTGAAGAACGGGATGGAGGCAGAGAAGAGGAGGAGTGGAGGGTGTGTGGGGAGGGGAGGAGGAAGAGAGAGAGGCGGGAGGGTTCTCCTTCACCTTTTTCTGCAGGAGACCCTTGACGGCTTCTGTCAGGGTGCCAACGACGCCTGCGAGCAGCGATGAGGCAAAAAGGGAGAAGGAGCAAGGAAGAAGACGGAGGTGGCAGGGGAGGGGGGAGGGAGAGAGTAGCGTTTTAGGCCAGGGAGAATAGGGAAGAGGGAGGAGAG